AAACGAAATAAAGTTATATTTAAAGATGTTATGGAAGACTTTAGATATATGATTACGAAATTAACTATTAATAAAATTTTTAAATTTTATATTATTAAAGGTTACGAAAAAAAATAAGCGATTGTATTGATTGTAAATCATATTTAAATTGGTTAAAATAATTAAAAAAATATATTATTAAATGGTATAAGTATAAATTGAAAAATAAATTTATATATTACGTGTTTAATATAAGATAATAACATTTAATAATCCCATCATTTTATGTTTAAAACGTATTAGAAATGATATATGATTAATAATACTATTTTGGATTTAAATGTATAATATATGATTTATAAGGCGTTTGTATTTAAAATTTATTTAGAAAAGTAAAAGAATATATATAATATTATTTTAAATGTTAAGAGAATTAAAACGATAAGTTTAGATCTAACGGAGAATTTATACCGATTAATTTAATAGTAATATTTTATTATATTATTATATAGGATTTTATTGTAAACTTACCGAAAATTCCCTCTAAAACAACAATATGGTATATTGAAGGTTTTAATTATTACGACGTTATAATAATTATTATTTGTAAATTTAGTAAAAAGGTTATATTAATATTAGGATATATTATATGTAAAGCGAATTATTAGGTAATATTATAAAACTTATGGATAAATATTATTCCAGTATTATAATATAATATAAATAATATGAAATTATTAGTATTATAAAGAAGTTTTAATAAAATTGTATACGGTTTTAAACTAAAAATTATAATTTTTATTATAGAAATATTAAATAATTTATTTAATTACGATATTTTGTAAGACTTTTATTAAAAGGAGGTAAAGGTTATAATAGATTTTGTTATAATAGATATTAAAATATAATACGATAAGATTTATAAATTAGTAAATTGGAAAATAGGAGATATTGTATATTTAAAATTATATAAAGGTTATAACTGATTAGGAAAATTATTAAGGAAATGGTTTATTTAAAGAGTTGGTTTATTTATAATAACTAAATAAATTAAAAATCTAACTTATAAATTAAATATATTAAATTATTAAAAGATATATAAAATAATATTAATGGTATATTTTTATAAAGTATTATAAAGAGTAGACCTATATAATAAATAAAAACCCTAACCTAAACAAATCGTTATTAAAAAAATTAATAATAAATGGATATTATATAAAATCAAAAAACTATTAAAAATAAGTTAATAAATAAAGGATATTAATAATTAAATATTTAATGTAATAAAAGAAATATATCCTTATATATAATTAATAATATATAAGAAAACTACTTATACAAAATGCAATAAAATTAATAAATAAAATTAATAAAAATAATAAATTTATAATAAAAGAATTAAAGATTGTTAATAATGTAAATAATAATAAAAATTAAAATATTATTAAGGAAATATTTAAAATTAATATTAAAATCGAATTAAAATTTAAACTAATTATATTTTTATTTATAATATTATCTATTATACCATCGCATATATTAATAATTTCGATAATAGTATTATGTATAATTTTATTATTAATATAATTAATATAAATATTTAAAAAAGTATAATTTTTAATTTTAAAAGATTAAAATAGCTTAAATCTGAAAGTATAAATATATTGGTAGTAATAAACGTAATTAAATAATTTTAAAAATATAAAAATATTTATATAAATTAAGATTAACGTAATTAATAATGTTAATTTTAATTGATTAAAATAATTATAAAAATATTTATCCAAGTTGGAATTAATATGGTTAATTATAAAATTAAAAAAATTAATTAAAAAAATTAAGATTTATAAAAAATATAAAAGAAATTACACCGACCTAGTCTTATAAATATTTTTTTTCTTAAATATTATTTTTTAAGACCGGACTTAACCATATTAACTAAACAATAAAATAATATTTTTTTAATTTTTAATTATTCCATTAAATAATAGTAATAAAATTATTGTATAACTATTATACCATTTAAAAACGAAATATTTTATTAGATATAATTTGAAAGATTTATTTAAGCCCATATTAAACTAACTTAATACCTTCATAGAACAAAAATAATTTTAAAAACTAAAACTTTTTAAATTAATATAACAACGCTTTAAAAAAGGTACCTTATTAAATATAAGTAGCTATATCTTTTAAATAAACACTGCTTAATTATAATTAATATTTTATAAAAATTTAAAAATCTTTTTTAATATTAAAATAATATTATATATTATACCAGATTAAAATAATAGTTTAATTTAATTAAAGTGGTTAATATATTAATAAAAATAAATCTTTACAAATAATCTAATAGTAATATTCTATATAAAAATATAATAAATTAATTATATTAAATTTATACCATTATTACGTAAATATAATAAAATCTTAAAAACTATTATAGAATTTTTATATATATTTTTACGAAAAAATATTTTAAAATTATTAAAATTAACAGAAATTTAATTATTAATTTTGGAAAATTTTTAATCGATATTATAGAAATATTAATAGTATTAAAATTAGTTTAAATGGTATAATTACCAAAATATTAATAAATTTTAACCTTTTAATAAAAAGTATTAAAATTTGTTAAAATATTAAAGACCTTATAATATCAATAGTATAGCAGTAAAATGGTACCAGAAATTATAATTAACAATAATAATAAAAATAAAAGAAAATTAATAATATAATTTTAAAGATATATTATTAAACTTAAATAATATAAATAATAATAAATCTAAATATATAATTATTTAAAAAAGTAATAATAATAATAGCGAAGAAATTAAATTAAATATTAAGGCGATAAAGAAATTTATTAATAAGATTTTAGAAAAGATTTTAATTAATTAAAAGTTTATAATGAAACGATAAAAGTGATAAGATTACGTAATAAGATTATGATAACGATAGCATAGATAAGATAGCTTAGCTTATTTCCTACTTACATAAATCAAGAAGATTTCATCTTTTTTATTAATACAACTTCAACTTTCTACTCACAATGATCCCTAGCAAAAAGTAATAAAGTAATAAATTTGTTAAAATGGAAGAAGTAATCGATAATTTATGTTATAATTTAAATAGAAAGAAGTATAATATAATTAAATAGAAAAGAAATATTTAATAATTAGTAGCGGCAATAAATATGGTGGAAACTTTTATTAAGACTTAAAAATATAATTAATTTAAAAATATAATTTAAATTTTAAATTTAATAAAACGTAAAAATATTTTTAATATAAATTTAATTAATTTATTAAGAAAATTTTATAAATCTATTAAAAAAATCTATAGTTATATAATAATTAATAAAAAAAAAGAAAATGATAATATTATAAAAAAAATCCAATTAAAAATTTAAGTAAAATAAATTATATTATTAATATTAATTTTAAGAAAAATTAAAATATAAGTACGTAAACTTAAAGGAGTTTATTATTTATTTATAATATTATTGTTAATTAAAATTATATTATAATTAAAGGTTTAAAGATATTATAACTTTTTTGTAAAAAAGGGGTAATAATGAGATTATATAATGAGATTACGATAACAATAATATAAATAAAATAATTTAGTTTATTTTTTTATTTCTATAGATTAAAAAGATTTTGTTTTCTTTATTAATATAATATTAATTTTCTACTTATAATAATTCCTAGCAATTATTTTTATTATTTTTATTTTATTAATTTAAATAACTTTATTTTAAATTTATAAAATTATAAGATTTTTATTAAATAATTTATTTAATTTTAATTTTATTTAAAATTAACTAATTAAACGTTAACATTAAATTCTTTTTATAATCTTTTATACTACATCCAGTCCTTACCCGGGTATTGAGGATATACTCAACTCCATATTCAAATACGCTGGAATAAAATCCTTCAGATCACACAACCTTACGAGTAATATACGCTGCTCTTATATAAAGCTTCTTGACGAAGTAGACGAAGTCGGGAGTAAACTCATAAAGAGCGATCGATACTTTAGCTCTGCTTCCCCCGGGGAGTACTTTAGACGTCTAAAGCGCCATTGATGCGCCGCTGCATGTATCTAATTAGATAGCATAAAGCCCCCAATAGACGTAAACGTTCTCATCATCATCATCATCATAAGGAGCGATATGAGTAGTTCGGGATTCTATTGGGCCGATGTTGTATATATGGTAGGATTGAGTCTGCGTTATGGAATACTGAGGATAAAAAGCTTTTTGCAACTTACATCCTTTCTTGGACTACTTTGGTATGTGGAAGCCAAAATAAATGAAAGCTCTAGAGACCAACTGGAATCTCTCTTATCACAGCTATCTCAGTACATTAATCTTCAAACGAGATCCACCCAACCAAGGACACATTGGAGTATACCAGAAGCCCTACCAGCCATCTTCGAGATGATATTCGAAAACAGTGTTGATCCAAATTATCTGGACACTAAAGGTCAGCCTTCCACAGGCTCGTCAAGTCGCTACACTGCTTGGGAAATGAATCTCCATAATTATCCCACAGAATTTGACCCAACCCAATGGATCGCTTCAACAAAAATTTTCCTCAAGTACAGGGCCTATCCAACGATAAATAGGGCAGAGTGGAAGCATCATACAGTCGAAGATCACATTGAACGTATTTGTTTGAACAAATCTAGTGTATCAAAAGAGAAGGACGAGCTATTGAAGCTATTAAGCGAAGCGAAGGAAATATGGAAAGCTAGGTAGTTCTATGTCCGAGTTTTACGAGGCTAATTGTATCAAAATCCTTTTCCTTGAAGGATCTTGTTCTTAACCGTGACAAGAAAGTAAATTTTAGATGAGGTGAGGTGTGCGAGTTGAAGAGTTGAACGTGGGTAAAACTCGGGGTATTGTGTTACCTACCCCATGCCCCAAGGACGCTAAGGTTTTGAGTTGCTCGGCGCAGAAATGACGTGACGTTTTAGCTGCAGCTGCTCGAGCGAATTTGGAGTTACATATTACGGTTATCGCATTTCCAATAACAGGGCGCCGATTACGGAACAGTCTATTATGAACTCTTTGCAAGGAAAGATATACCATAGAATAAAACAAAATCATACTAGAGAAACCCCTTTTACTTTTAATACTAGTTGACAAATCGGATCAGAGAAGTAGGGGATTGGGGGCTTGAATGTGTACGTGAGATATTTGATATACGGCACACGTTTGCCTACATGCATTGTTTTTTCCGCCTGAGGTCTTATCCCAGACTATTCTACACAAAGACACCCTACATCACCTACATCACCTACATCAGAAGTACGAATCGGGCATTTGCTACCAGAAACCGAGGGTTTCATTCAACAACTATGTCGGCACAACTCCCGCCTAAGCTTAAGCCTGCCGCTCGCGTTGCAGGCCAAAGACAAGATGTCTGGTCTATCGTCAACGAGGCGGCGGCTGCTTCTCCGAAGCAGCCCATCGTGAATATGGGACAGGGCTTCTTCGGCTACAACCCGCCGGCATTCATTATCAATGCTGCCAAGTCGGCTTTGGATCGAGTGGACTGCAACCAGTACAGTCCCACGAAGGGTAGGCCACGACTAAAGAAAGCAATCGCAGATGCCTACGAACCCTTCTGGGGACGGAAGCTCAACCCGGAGACTGAAGTCACTATCACCACCGGAGCGAACGAAGGCATGCTGAGTGCATTCATGGCTTTCATTGAAGCTGGCGATGAGGTTATTATTTTTGAGCCGTTCTTTGACCAGTGAGTCATTTCCCCTATATCAAAACAATCTGTTTGCCGACTATGGTCTAGATATATCAGCAACATTGAGATGCCTGGTGGGAAGATCGTCTATGTCCCCCTATACCCGCCAAAAGACGGAGCTACGCGCACGTCGTCGTCTGCTGAGTGGACCATCGACTTTGACGAGCTTGAGAAGGCTATTACACCCAAGACCAAAATGATCGTCATTAACACGCCTCGTTAGTATTTCACTCGGACCCAGACAAGCGGAATAAATAACTAACAGCTATCCCAGATAACCCGGTTGGCAAGGTCTTCTCAAAGGAGGAACTTCAGAGAATAGGAGACATCTGCGTCAAGAATGAGATCATCATCCTCTCCGACGAGGTGTACGACCGTCTTTACTACACACCCTTCACGAGAATCGCAACACTCTCGCCTGAGATCGAGAACTTAACACTGACTGTCGGCTCGGCTGGTAAAAACTTCTATGCCACTGGATGGCGAGTAGGTACGTTAGATACAAAACTCCTGCTCAAGATCTATCACTGACAAGATACAGGCTGGCTCATGGGTCCCGAACGTCTGATCCGCTACGTCTCTGCGGCCCACACGCGCATCTGCTACTCGTCCGTTTCGCCATTGCAAGAAGCCTGCGCAGTCGGTACGTCCAAACTACCCCCTTGAATTTAAACACGTGACATATATACTAACCCACCCAGGCTTCGAGCAAGCCGAAGCTGAAGGATTTTGGGACGAGACGGTCCGGGATATGAAGAGCAAGATGAAGCTTTTTAACGAAGTGTGGGACGAGCTAGGCCTGCCATACACAGATCCCGAGGGCGGGTACTTCGTGATGGTGAACATGCAGAAGGTCAAGCTGCCGGAATACTACCCGTTCCCGCCACACGTAGCGAGTAGACCGCGCGACTTCAAGCTTTCCTGGTTCCTGATCCAGGAGGTTGGTGTTGCGGCCATTCCGCCTACGGAGTTTTACACCGAGTCCAACGCGCATATTGGGGAGGATTATATCCGTTTTGCGGTGTGCAAGGAGGATCATATTTTAGAGACGGCGAAAGAGCGGCTTCGGGGGTTGAAGAAGTATATAGAGGATTAAAAGGGTAGAACGCGCTATGAGATGCGATAGATTTCCAAGGCGATAGATTTCCAAGGCGATAGATTTCCAAGGCGATAGATTTCCAAGGCGATAGATTTCCAAGGCGATAGATTTCCAAGGCGATAGATTTATCAAGATACGTTAAATTCAAGCATGGCTGTGAGTGTTTAGGTGTTGAGTAAATCCTGCGTTTATGATACTCGATCGAGTGGTTGCCTAGTCACGCTCATCTGCCGGGTACGCATTGTACAGTATCAACTACAGGAGTACGCCACTAATATCCGTAATCGCGAATAATTTATATATAGGTATGTATATGTATATGCATATATATCTACATAGCATAGTACACCACATCACAAATATTTACATAAAATCTAGCCCGCTCTATACACAACAAAATAATCTTCTTCCTCTCCCCATTCCTCACTCTCAAGTAAAGATCACCTACTTACTCCCCTCTACGAACCGCCTACTTAGCGATCTGCAAGCTCTGCGTATGGCAATAATGCAGCAGACCCTGCTTTCCCAGCTCTCCACCAAACCCGCTAAGCTTCCAGCCGCCGAAGAAACCGGCGTGGTGCGGCCGCTCGAACTGGTTGATCCACACGGTTCCCGACTCGAGCTGTCGCGCGATGCGCTGCGCGCGGTCGAGGTCGGGCGTGTATACTGATGCGCCTAGGCCCGCGTTGTCTAGGTTTGCGCGGGCGATCACGTCATCTTCTGAGGACCAGGACATTACGGGGACGATGGGGGCTGCGGAGGGTTGGTTAGTTGGGTTTGTTTTTTTGGATGTAGAGGATAATGAAAAAAGGGGGGGAGGGGGGGGAATGCATAGGCGAATCTTCATAGCTTACCGAATTGCTCCTCCCTCACGATCAGGGAGTCTTCGGGTGGTTTCGAGACAATAGTGGGAGGCAGCCAGAACCCTTTCTCAGCCGGCCGGACCTCGCCGCCCGTAACGATCTTATACCCGTTCTTCTTGCAGTCCTCGATAATGCCCACCGCACGCTCGTAATTAGCGCGGTTCGACAGCGGGCCAAAAGCGACGGACTCGTCGTCGTCGACGGCGAATTTCTTGGACTCCTCGACGAGCCTCTCGAGGAAGCGGTCGTACAGGGACTCGTGGACGTAGATGCGCTTGGACGCGACGCACACCTGGCCGGCGTGGAACAGGGCGCCGCTAGCGACCTGGGGCACGACGGCGTCGAGGTCGACGTCGTCGCACACAATGCACGCGTTGTTGCCGGCGAGCTCGAGGATCACCTTCTTCAGGGTGCCGGCGCAGTTGCGTAGGATGCGCTGGCCGACGGCGATGGTGCCCGTGAAGCTGATGTGGTGAATCCCGGCGTGCAGCGTCATCTGCTCGCCGAGATCGGCGCCGCCGTTGACGGCTTGGAAGACGCCCGGGGGGAGGACCGACTGCGCCAGCTCGCAGAACTTGAGCAGCGAGTACGGCGTGAAGGGGGACGGCTTGATGATGCAGCAGTTGCCGGTGGCGAGCGCGGAGACGATCTTGACTGTTGATAGGATCAGGGGGAAGTTCCAGGGGGAGATGGCGCCGAGCACGCCGATGGGCGCGTGGGTTGCTATGATCCGGATTGTGTCGTCTTCGTACTGGAGCTCATCTTCGAGGGTTACGCTTTCTTGATGGGTTTGTAAGTTAGTGTATAATAAAGGGGAGCCGGTGGTGCATACTATAATACTCGAAATGCCATGCTGCCCTCTGAACGTCGAATTTCGACATGAGCCTAGACTTTCCAGTTTCCTTCATCTGGACCTCGGTTAAGATATCCAGGTTCTCGAGGATGACGTTGGCCACATCGTGAACGGCCTTCTGACGCTCGGCCACGGTGCTCTTCTTCCACGTCTTGAAAGCCCGGTTAGCCGCCTCGACGGCATCGTCCAGGTCCTTCGTCGACGCGATAGGGGCGTCCCAGAGAGGCTCTTCCGTGCGGGGATCGATGACCTGGTGATGATCCTTAGAGGTGCGGAGCTTTCCGTCGATGATGTTGTAGAATTGAAAGGCGGATTGCCCATTTGAGCCGTCTGTCTCGAGAGAAGGCATCTTGGCTTACAACGGCAACGGTAGCTGTACAAGACGCGTGTTCCGTATGTCGAACAAATAACCTGATCACCACACGCAGCGGAGCAGAGAGCACAACAATGCAGAGTCGTAAGGGAAAGGGTAAAAGTATCTCTACTTTAGCCACGTGGGAAAAGCAGACAGACTGCCATCTATCCGCATGGCTATTTTTGCCATATATACTACCGGAATGCGGTAAGGTAGGATGAGGGGTTAATAATGTTTGAATGAATTGCCGGTGTTTTAGGGCTGGTACACTCTTCTATATGAGGGTAAGGCCCCGGGAAAAGTCCCCAAAGGCTCTCTAGGGTAGGATGATCTCGACGTTGCTTGGGGGGTTCTCCTGGGCTCGAGTTAGCGACAGCTTGCGATATACTCGGTAATATTAATGTTACAACAGCACGGAAAGAATAGCAGTGATCCGAGGTAGTTAATGATTCAAATTCAATCTTTATATTCAATTGCTCACGAGAATATGCTATGTGTTGTCTGTCATGTTGATTTATACCGTATTAGTTGATGAGAACAGTTGAACTTCTCTGATTTAAAATCAGTCAAGACTGAAAAATTAGACGAAACGTGATCAACACTTAGAGGCATGACGTACTAAGCCGGTCCTGTTCTCGAACATCTCAAGAATGAAGCTAAAAAGAAAAGATCGCGGAAGTCGGAGTCAGCCGAAGTTGTGGATACGCAGCTGGATCCTCGATAAGGCTAACGGCGCTAATAGTTCTATAGCGATAAGCTAGTACCCCGCAGCTGACCGGCTTTAGTTAGCCCCTAGGAGTTCGCGGGCTTATACTCCCGAGTTGCATATCTCAAATTGTTCTGACTTCTTCTTCATATCTGATTCGATATGGCTTTCCTCTAATTCGCCCCTCTATGTCATATGTATCGAATGGCGGCTCAGCTATCAGCTTCCCGTTTGTCATTACTGGTTCACCGAACTTCTAGATCGGGTACCGGCGAATGAAGACCAGTCGGACTTTAAGTCACGATAAACGTAGATTGCCACCCAACTAAAGTGTAGAAGTGCAGCATTTGTTCTACTTGCTCTACTTGTTCGCAACACAGTTTGAGCCATCGTATTCTCTTCTCACCATTGTCCCAGTAATTCGTTCAGCCCGAAAATCTTAGGACTTATTATTTCTCTTTCCCGGCCTCGGTAATCCAACTGTTAATAGCTACTGTTAATAGCCGAGTCGACGTGTAGCGACATCCATCATTGCCTGAGATACCTATGTGAAATATCAACTTTACGGTATTACTGTTAAAGCTACGAAAGTAAAGGGGGGAGTTTTGACATCATGGCTCCAATTGCCATCTCCCCCGAAAGAGATCCGGCACTTCCAGGTGGGGAATCCGGACTAACTGCGGTGTACGATGATACCATTCGTTTCTTCCTCAACGGTACTCGTGTGGTTCTCGACGAGATCGACCCGGAAGTTACGCTGCTCGAATATCTAAGAGGAATAGGTTTGACTGGAACAAAACTGTAAGTCCGGACTGCGTTCGACTATGTCAGATTAACCAATGCTGATAGCTGGAGCGTAGGGGTTGCGGTGAAGGCGGATGCGGCGCCTGCACAGTCGTAGTGAGCCAATATAATCCGACAACCAAGCAGATATACCATGCTAGTGTTAACGCCTGCTTGGCACCGCTCGCCAGTGTAGATGGCAAGCATGTCATCACAATCGAAGGCATAGGAAATGTTAAACAACCCCATCCCGCACAGGAGCGGATTGCCAAGAGTAATGGAAGTCAATGCGGATTTTGCACTCCGGGTATTGTTATGAGTTTGTATGCTCTGTTGAGAAATAACGAGAGCCCTACAGAACATGACATCGAAGAAGCTTTCGACGGTAACCTCTGCCGATGTACTGGTTATCGTCCAATTTTAGACGCCGCTCAGACCTTTAGCGCCGGAAATGCGTGTGGTAAGAGCACTGCGAATGGCGGCTCAGGTTGTTGCATGGAAAATAGCGACGGTTCCAAAGATGCGAATGGAGGGTGCTGTAAGAGCAAGGACCTCAGCGATGGACAACCCATCAAAAAGTTCACACCACCGGGATTTATCGAATACAAGCCAGACACCGAACTCATCTTCCCGCCATCACTGAAGAAACATCTATTCAAACCTCTATCCTTTGGAAATAAAAGGAAGAGGTGGTATCGACCCGTTACGTTGGAACAGTTGCTGGAGATAAAGAGCGTCTACCCTAACGCGAAGATCATTGGCGGGAGTACGGAAACGCAAATCGAGATCAAGTTCAAGGCTCTGCAATATCCGGTTTCGGTATTCGTCGGAGACATCCCCGAGCTGCGGCAGTATTCTTTCAAGGACGACCATCTTGAGATCGGCGGGAACGTCGTGCTCACTGACCTTGAGAATATCTGCCAGGAAGCAATTAAGCATTATGGAGAAGCAAAGGGCCAAGTATTCCAAGCTATGTACAAGCAACTCAAGTACTTCGCTGGACGCCAAATCAGAAATGTCGGTACCCCTGCTGGTAATTTAGTTACAGCTTCGCCCATCTCTGATTTAAATCCCGTGTTCATGGCAGCAGATTGCGTTCTGATCGCTAAATCTCTGAATAAAGAGATTGAACTACCCATGGCGTCGTTTTTCAGGGGTTATCGCAGGACAGCCTTAGAACAAGACGCGATTCTTGCATCTATCCGCATTCCCGTAACTCGCGAGAGGGGAGAATATTTCAGAGCCTACAAGCAGGCAAAACGCAAGGACGACGATATTGCTATTGTTACAGGAGCATTGCATGTCAGACTAGACCAGAAAGGTGTCGTTGAACATTGTAATCTGGTTTATGGCGGCATGGCGCCCTCTACTGTCGCAGCAAAGAAAGCCACCGAGTATCTCAGGGGCAAATTATTCGCCCATCCCGATACGCTAGAAGGCGTTATGAATGCGCTCGAGTCCGATTTTGATCTCGTGTTTAGTGTTCCCGGAGGCATGGCTTCGTATCGGAAGTCGCTGGCACTTGGTTTCTTTTACCGATTCTATCACGACGTGTTGTCGGGTATTAGCACAGAAAGTGAACACGGTGATAGTCAAGCCGTTGAGGAGCTCGAAAGAGCTTTATCATCTGGTTGGAAGGACCACGAGGCAACTTCTGATTACATTAAGGGGCCCTTAGGAAAAGCCGATAACCACGTGGCGGCTCTGAAGCAGTGCACAGGGGAAGCGCAGTATACAGACGATATCCCGCCACTCAAGAACGAACTACACGCATGTCTAGTGTTGTCTACGAGGGCGCACGCAAAGATCAAATCAATTGATTATTCTGCGGCGTTGGATATCCCAGGTGTAATAGATATCGTTGATAAGAATGACTTGCACAACCCCGAGCATAACAAATGGGGTGCGCCTAATTTTGACGACCTGTTCTTTGTCGAAGATGAGGCTTTCACTGCCGGTCAGCCAATTGCCATCGTTTTAGCTACCTCGCAGGCAAGAGCAGCACAGGGGGTCAGGGCCGTGAAGATCGAGTACGAAGATCTCCCTGCCATTCTCACCATTGAAGAGGCAGTGGAAAAGGAAAGCTTTCACAAATACTTTCGATATATCAAGAAGGGAGACTCGGAAGAGGCTTTCAAACATTGCGACTACACTTTTACAGGCGTTGCGCGGATGGGAGGCCAAGAACACTTCTACCTGGAAACAAATGCGTGCATGGCCATACCTAAACCTGAAGATGGTGAGATGGAAATTTGGACCAGCAGCCAAAATCCTACTGAAAGGCATGTTTCCTTACGATATTCCACACTAGTAACCTAAGCTAACTTCCTCCTAGCCAAGCGTACGCATCTAAGATTCTTGGTGTACAGTCAAATAAGGTGGTAGCTCGCGTCAAGCGTCTTGGTGGCGGCTTCGGCGGGAAGGAAACCAGATGTGTCCATCTCAGCACTATTTGCGCATTAGCTGCGCAAAAGACTAAGCGGCCTGTCAGATGTATGCTCAACCGAGATGAAGATATGGTATTATCTGGTCAGCGTCACCCTTTCCTCGCCAAGTGGAAAGTGGGTGTGAATAAAGACGGCAAACTCCAAGCTCTCGACATGGACGTCTTCGCCAATGCTGGCTGCTCGTTCGACTTGAGTCCCGCCGTGTGCGAACGCTCCCTAAGCCATAGCGATGGCTGCTACAAGGTCCCGAACGTTCACGTTCGCGGACGGCTATGCAAAACCAACACTATGTCTAACACGGCCTTCCGTGGCTTTGGAGGGCCTCAAGGCTTATTCTTCGCTGAGTGCTACATGTCTGAAGTTGCCGACCGCCTCGGCATACCAGTTGAGACGTTCCGAGAAATCAATTTCTACAAAGCCAACGAGGAGACTCACTTCAACCAGCCCCTTCAAGACTGGCACGTACCTCTGATGTATAAGCAGGTTCAGGAGGAGTCAGACTACGCCGCCCGCCGCAAAGCCGTTGAGGTATTCAATGCAGAGCACAAGTGGCGTAAACGGGGGCTAGCGCTGATTCCCACGAAATTTGGTATCTCCTTTACCGCTCTTTGGTTGAACCAAGCCGGGGCCTTGGTGCATATCTATCACGACGGATCGGTCTTGGTCGCGCATGGCGGTACAGAGATGGGCCAGGGGTTACATACAAAGATAATCACAATTGCAGCGCAAGCGCTCCAGGTACCAAAAGAGGACGTACATATTTCGGAGACGTCCACTATGACGGTAGCAAATACGTCTCCTACCGCCGCCTCGGCGTCGTCCGATCTGAATGGTTATGCCGTCTGGAATGCCTGCGAACAGATAAACGAACGGCTTGCACCGTATAGGAAGAAGTTGGGGCCTCAAGCTACCATGAAGGAGCTTGCTCACGCGGCCTATTTTGACCGTGTGAACCTAAGCGCCAATGGGTATTATAAGACACCAGAAATTGGGTACACGTGGGGTGAGAATACCGGAAAGATGTTCTTCTACTTTACTCAGGGCGTTGCAGCGGCTGAGGTTGAGGTTGACTGTCTGACGGGTACTTGGACGTGCTTGCGCGCCGATATCAAGATGGATGTAGGACGGTCGATTAACCCTTCAATCGATTACGGCCAGATCGAGGGCGCATTCACCCAAGGCCTAGGCCTGTTCACCATGGAGGAGAGCCTATGGCTGCGCAATGGTCCGATGGCGGGTAACTTATTTACGAAGGGGCCGGGTGCATATAAGATCCCAGGATTCCGCGACATTCCCCAGGTCTTCAACGTCAGTTTGCTCAAGGGCGTAACGTGGGAGAACCTGCGCACCATCCAGCGTAGCAGAGGTGTTGGCGAGCCGCCCCTATTCATGGGAAGTGCGGTATTCTTTGCGATCCGCGACGCACTCAAGGCAGCGCGTGCGGACTACGGGGTGAAGGCTAAGCTGTTTGCCCAAGGAGGCGAGGATGATGGATTGCTAAGGCTTGAGAGCCCAGCCACTCCTGAGAGGATTAGGCTTTCGTGTGTTGATCCTATAATGGAGCGGGCTAGAGTGATACCGAAGGAAGGCGAGAAGAGCTTCTTCGTTGCTATTTAGGCTTGTGAAGGTATTCGAGATTGCAGGTCTCTAGACGAGTACAATAAGATGAACGTACATAGCGTTATTAGCTTGCGTTTGTATTCTACGGGCCAGGTAATGAGCTCTAGCATATTTGACACGAGAAATAAACCGATAATTAGAATGTCATTTCCTTGGTTTATATCATCTTCACTGCCCCTTTTCTATATCATCTCATTTTTCTTGGTGACCATAAATGAAAACTTGAAAATCGGCAAAGATGTTTCTTCAGTCGATACTACGTACTAGAATTCAGATTGTCAAGACAGTCCTATACGACCCACATTGGAATTAAAGCCGAAATAAAACTACCGATTATAAATATAAACCGATCTCGATCAGCTTCTATGACGTTGCGATATCATCTAAACCCGTTAAATACGCCACTAATACGGTTCAATTTGTAAATAGATGTAGAATATAAATATCCCTCCAGGTACCTATTTACAAATTAATAAATTAATAAACGAATACTACAATGCCCACGATAGCAATCTCAGGTGCCTCCGGCAAACTAGGCGGCGCAACGCTCTCCGCGCTGCTCGCGCACAACCTCATCCCCGCATCCTCCATCATCGCACTAACATCCTCACCTCCCAACTCATCCACATTCGCCGCCCTAGCCGCCACCGCCCCCGGCCTCCAAGTACGCCACGCCAGCTTCGAGGACCTGCCGTCGTTCGAGCAGGCGTTGCACGGCGCGGATCGGTTCTTCCTAGTGTCGACGCCGCACATACAGCTAGATTTCGACCGTCTTGTTCAAGACGACGAAAAGAAGGAGAAGAAGTGGGTCGAGGTCCCCGACGGCCAAGGCCGCGAGCGGCACCATCGCACCGCCATCGACGCCGCGGTCAAAGCCGGCGTAAAGCACATATTCTACTCGAGCCTGGCGTTCGCGTACTCGCCGCCGGCCCGGTCCGGGAAGCGCACCAGCAAAGCGGCCGTCATGCGCGCGCATCTGCGCACCGAGGCGTATCTGGCGCGGCTCCGCGACGAGGGCACGCTCGAGAACGTGACGGTCATCCGCGAGGGGCTGTACGCCGAGTCCTGGCCGCTGTACCTGGGATACTTTGCGCCCGACGGCGACGGCGACGACGGCCGGCGCGAAGTAGAAGTGCCGCTCGCGGGAGACGGGAGGGCGAGCTGGACGGCGATCCGGGATCTGGGCGTTGCGAACGCGGTGGTTCTAGCGGCGGCGGAAAGTGGGGAGTTTGGGAACCGCATGTTTTACCTGTCGACTAGAGCTAGGACGGCGAAGAGCATGGCTGAGATGGCGGGGCTGGTGGGCGCGGCTCGGGGGCGGGGGATCAGCGTGAGGGTTGTGGGGAGGAGGGAGCACGAGAGGTATTATGTGGAAGAGCGGGGGTTGGACGCCGCGGCGGTTAGGTGGTGGGCTAGTACGTATGAGGCGCTGGAGGAGGGGGAGTGCGAAGTTGATGATGGGATGTTGGAGGAGCTGTTGGGGCGTGTGGGGGTGAAGCCGGAGGGGGTGGAGGAGGTGGTGAGGAGGATGGTTAAGGGGTAGGGGGGGTTAATATAGAGAGGAAAGGAGAGGAAAAGAGAGGACGAGAGGGCTGGCGTTACTGTCGAGTATGATTCTGGGTGATAGTTGCACTTAGGGGGCAAGATAAAAGCCCGTATCGCAGAGACTATTGGATTATCTCGAGGTAAATAGGGGGCTGTATATATCAGATAGAACTACATGCAATACCCTCTGATTCTAATCTACCCGGCAGTGAGATTCCTCTTCTCAAGTCGACAGATATAATCAACAACTATAATCAATAACAACAACAGAAGAACGTCCATCTCTTCATGCAATTAACACTACGCAGCAAATACTACCAAGCCAATTAAGTGCGGATCCACTCCCAGCAAATAAATTCACCATCCACCATCCACCCGCCCACAAACCGCCGCTAATATAAAAAACACCATAAGTCACGATAAGCGTCAGTCCGGTATAGTGTAACGGCCAACATACCTCGTTTTCACCGAGGAGCTCGGGGTTCGATTCCCCCGTACCGGAGTCCAATTTCTCTTTTCCCCTTTTCTCATTTTTCTTTCTGCGCGTCTTCATCCGGATTCTTCTTTAGGATATCGATGATCTTGCGCCCGCTTTCTTTGGGTTAACTATGATTTCCCGAGGTAGGTTTACATATCTACGTGAGACGGGTCGAACGAGAGAGGAAACGAAGACGTGATGTTATAGTGGCAATAAAGGAGAATGAGAGAAGCGAGGGCATTCTACCCGTTGTTGGTGATGAGAAATACTCTTAAGCCATAACCCAAGATCGACCGTATCGAAGACGATATGAGTGCTATCCCTTGACTATGCGATGCAGTACTTTTTATATATGTGCTCTTGTACGGACCTAGAAGAAAAAGAAAATAGAAGATAGTGTTAATATCAAGAGCAATGGCAACATTATGCAGAGCGATTGGCAAGTATCGATTCTATTTAGGCTATCAATTTACGCCACATCTCTATAGAGAAATGGCGTTATCATTATATCTAAAGTTTATAAACTTCCATAGCCAGGTAGAAATGTGAATTAACCGCATAGAATCCTAGTATGTATAAAGTTAGCGAAACTAGGTATTTACATGTTATTATTTTTTTGAGACTCACATTTCAGTAAGTTGCCGTAGCTAGGTTCTATCAGCTGTTCAAGCTATGTAGTACGCTTAATTCTATGAACATATTCGCGCCTAAGGAATAATAGAATTTTACATGGGCTTCTTAGTACTCTCTACTGTGAAATTGATTACGGGAGGACAGGGACATAGCTAGTTAACTGCAGGATATGGCAACGAATGTTATGAACCATCATGAATCCCATTTGAGACTGATTTGCCTCTTCTGAAGCTCTCGCTCTAGATCGCCACCATCTTCATGGTAATGTGCCAACGTGAGCGCGTGCGCGATCCATTGCTTACTGAGCTCGTCTTCATTAATCCCGTATAGGTCGACACCGTGGTTGAATGCTGTCGTAGTAAACCACTCAACCTCAAGAGACGGAATGGGTTTTTCGCTCTGTGGCCATTTTTAGTAAAATCGCTGGCCTTTCTATAGCATTACTACTGGAAGGAGAACGTACGCCTGCGCATTGCTTCACAAGCCTACAGATGTCTTCCATAATTTTCAGGGGATATTCTGGTTCTGAAGCGAGAGTAGCCTTGAGTAAACATCGCAGGTATTTCGCGAGCTTCTCGTTATCGAAATTTTCAAGCGAAAATATTTGATTTATAATCTTGCGCAGCGTGGAATATAGAACTAACATCTGTTAGAAAAAAGAAATGCCTCCGCCGTAGCAAATCCGTACCTTGTCCAGGAACAGACTGGGCTCGGAGGACACAATCTGCCATCGCTTGAAATATGGATAGATTACGGCAAATTTTAGCTTTTAATAAGATCTCTGACAAGTCATCCTATGACTTAAGACAGATAGCCCCTTCAAAATCGAAGACGAGAAGGGTTGAAAGCTTCATTCGTAGGTCGTTCTTGGACACTTCGTCTAGACTGTTTAGCCGAGCCTCTAGTTCTTCGCCAAAACCTTTAACATGATTGCGCATCAAGAGATAGTCTTGAAGCTGCGTTTCGATGTTGTCTTCAGATCGTGCTAGGGCAATGTGTAATGTTGCCATTAGAAAATGACAGAACATTGCGCGTAGTGACAGATCCTCAGCTGCTTGAATTGGTATGTCCTGGGGATATTGGAATATAATTGCAAGGCAGCATTGAAAGATGCGAATACTTTGCCTCGGCTGCCAAATATTGATGTTTTTGACCGCTAGATTATAGGTATTTTTACCAAACCAATCTAGCTCTTCTACTGTGAATATCTTATCGCCATTGCTATTCCGCGGATCCCGCTGTATGGCTGGTACGACTGGGCAATTTAGTATAACCCGATAGATCCATGCAGAGAAACTCACCCCCTTCGAAGACTTGGCAGATATCATCTATTAACAAGCTACGGTCAGCATCCTTGTAATCTTTTTCGTTCATAAGCGACGTCTCGAGACGTATAACAACCCGGAGCAGCGCTGGTAGATGAACAGCATCCGACGAGCTGTATTCCGATTTCTGTATCAAATGCTTTAACGCCTCGATTGCGCATATTTTGTCTTCCGCTTCCTGCGCGTCTATGCAACACGCGTACAGGTACTGAGGATCTTTTGGCGAGGCCTCGCTAATGTGTCTTAAACAGTCAGAGGCCATTCCCCGGTCTCCGCACCTTAGAGCTAATTTGTACGCGAGGTATAATGTCATTGGCTCACATCTGGTTGATTCACTCATAGATTGGAAGATCTCTGCAGCATTTTCCAAGCTGTTTCTTTGAAGGGCGCAGCACACCAATTTCCTGTTTTCGTCAGACAGAATATATTATTACACACCTAGACAGGTAGAGCCTACCTAGTGATCTTTGCTGTATTCGCCGGACCCGAATTACGAAGAGCTGGGTGCATGGCTACGTGGCACCATTTCTCTGTAATATCCAGCTCTCCTTGATTGAATGAGGCATCAACCCTTTTCCATATGAGCTATTAATAGGTAATCAGCGCACGTCCAGAAGGGAATGAAGATAGGTTGGGTGGCTGGCTGACTATTTGTATGGCGAGAACAGCAGCAGCTGACAATGGGTTTTTTAAGCTAGCCTCGACACTATCAAATACGGTTCCGAGTTCTTGTATTGTTTCGTGAGTGTCCCGATGTGTCGTTGCCATCTGCGTGCAAAGCACGATGGCCCGTTCAACCCAAGTGTCCTGTTGGGTGGGCAACACTCTCAATGTTATAAATTCGCCGAGAACGGAGGAGGCCAGGCTCGGACTCTTGTCGTCTAGCTTACGTATATGGTGTATCATAAGATTGAAGCTTGATTCTGAGATTTCATGGCTCCTGATCATCCGCCGAAGGATACCGGCATATGCATTGCCGTCGAATACTTCGGCCGGCGAGCTAAGTAGGAGTTCCAGCCTAAGTAGAAGGACAACAAGCTTGTCACCGAGCTCGGATTCAACGTAACAGACATGATTTTCGGCCTTTTTGAAGCCTTCAGTCGTATTTAAATTTAAATATGCGCGAATGAGCGCCTGAGACACTGCTAGCCTCAACTCGATAACCTCTCTTGGTAGCTGCTCGAGGTCTTGGCTGTTGATGAATTCGTAAGCCCGTTCTAACCACTTTACTGCCAGCGAGAAGTTCTTCTTTACTGTTAAGTCTTTCCCAATCTCAAAAAACGAGTCGGCAAAATTCTCTGCCGATGCTGGGTTAGTAGTATGCTTGCAGTCTTGTACCTTTTCGTATAGATGGTCCGCCACGTCAAGGCGGTCTTCTTTCCAGGCCTTCTAGGGTTGTCAGCAGCTGAACGAGGGGTAAATAGTAATATGCAGCTTACCATAACTATACGAAGTGTAAAATACTCTGCCTCTAGTTTCCTGCAGGCGTCAGACTCCTCATCCGGCAGCTTCGCCTGCAGATTCTGCAACAACCCGTTATATTCCGCGGCCTTCTGCAGAACCATGAGAGCAAACTTGAGCTCGCCGTCCACTACGCCCATGTCAGTAAATCATGCAGCTCTGAAACTGTGGTGGGACAAAGATGCAATATACCAATACAAGATCTGCCGGTTTTGATTGCCAATTTTTCCAAGCGGAGGAGATCACCCGGTGTGTTATGATCACCCCATTGCGCCAGCGCCAGAATTAGGAACGAGAATACCCGGCAGAAAGTTAGGAGCTTCCTTCTCGTTGATGATACTTCACTACCGTCTTCGCGTTTAATCTGAACACACCAGTTCCAAAGATCGGTGCCGGCGCTATCTAGCTGTGCGTGACGATGCGAGCCGGGAGATTTAAGAGAGTAGGACTTGATAGCGTTGATCTGATTTTCTAACTCGTCAACTTGACTATTTAGTGCTTGTTCATCATTCTTGCTAGGCAACTGCTTCTGGAGATCATGGCAGAAAGCTTAGGGAGTCAGTATACGCCCCTAAACGGCACGGAGAATACGGACATATGATAGACTTGATACGCTTATCTCGGGCAGAATGTGACGAATTCGCGGTGTCCATGCTGGCACACTGGGAACCCGAAGGTCCGATACAGAGAGGCCGACCAATATATTGAGATGTGCTGCAATGTGGCTTTGTCTGATGCAGTCTTGGTGGGTATAGATACTACCTACTGAGCCTTCTTGGGGGCTGGTTAAGAAAGATGGTCACGATGACTACATTCGGATCAGTGCGTAAGCGGCGGTTAGATCGGTTAGCGACGCGAAAAGGCCACCTTGAAAGAGTTTCAGATCTCGGTAGCTTGCCTAGGGGGTTTGCAAAAGGGGCATTATCACCATCGAAAAAAGGGAGGTCTTGAGTTGATTGGCAGAGGTGGGAAAAAGCATGAAAGATATTTGGTGGAATTCTATTTGTCTTTTCTCCAAAAGTCTATGGTCAGGTACGAAAAGGTAGTGTTGTACTTTACTTTCCAATCAGGGGAAGTCGTAGCAGAAAGATCCAATAGCACCTTCCAAACCTAGTGGGATACCATCGTTGTTTCCGTCTCTCCCTCTTAGTACCCCGAAACAAAGTACCTCCACGATATAATTGCTGCTAGACTGCTAGACATGACGTGGCCCCTGAAGCTCTTGGATAAGAATGCATTACATCTATCATATCTTGAAATAGCCAACAACCTTTGCAGATTACCCATAACTATGCCATTGATATAACGTATAAGAGGTAGTTAATGCGAAAATAATACCTGCTTTGATGCCCAAATAGAAATTATTTGGATGCCGTCCAATATCCCATAGAGATATAGTATGATTCTAAGAATGCGGAGGGTCATGCGGAAGGAAATTGCCAACGATGAGGCTGGGTCTGTATAAGTAGAAATAGCGGTTAGCAGTATTCCTACATCCAAACTATTTTGCCTAGGCCGAGGCTCGCTACTCACATCTTGTGATCGTCCCTACGTATCATAAATGAAAAGCAGCAGTTAATGATCGGATCGATCGATCGGTCATCTGGGGTCTTCAAAGCACACGCCGTTAGAAGCGTGTCGTGGGCCGCGTCGAACGCGATAGTGCCAAATTCTTCCCAATACCGTACGAGCGACTCTTCTGTCAGTATTTCGTGCAGCGAAATTTTACCCTATACGTAAAGTTGATCAGCAGACTTCTCGGTCGTTATTAGTATAATACATACGTCTCGTAGCTTATCTACTGGAACGTGGATAAGTTCAGCCATCTCCTTGTTGCCCCTGAAGATTTCCCCGGTGCGTCTCCAGCAGCAAGCCGGGACCGCCATGGCTGCGAAGACTCGGTCATATTCTAGCAGGGTCTTCTCGAACCACATCTCTACGTAGACAAGCTCGATATCTCTAAGTCCCTGCACCTTCTCTCGGAACTTGGGTCGAAAGCGATCCAGCTGTCGAAGGATCTTCTGCTTCGACGCGGGAGCAATATGGGTATCCATGTATGACGACAACCGAGCGTAGCCTTTGATGTAATTGAACGGCTTTAGAAGGCCTGCATTGTATTTGGCCTTCATCACACTGTGCATGCGCGCCTCTGGCGTGTCGTTTCCTGATGGATCCGCCGCCTGGAGGTAGAATTCACGCGTCTTGTCTGGAGAGATGGCACTGGAGCCGGCCTGTTCCGTGCTGGGCGGAGGCATGGAACCTGCCTGCATCGAATTCGTAGATAGAATGTTGCTATTGCTGCCAGCCACGAAGCTTGCCATTTCGGACTGATTAAGTTGCGACAGATTATTCCTGAACAACAGATTCTGGTCGTCTGGCAGGTTCCCCGCGTCATCGAGGAGGCTAGTGTTCAGAAAATCATTGAGCAGATTAAATTCGTGGGAGACTTCTGGGGCAAGCATGTATTGAGGATGGTAGTGATGCATATCGTGGAATTGATTTTGGGCGGATAGCCAGGCATCAGAGAACCCACCGACTACGAGATCAATTCAGCTTTTTTCCCCTAGCCAGCACGACGTTCACAAGGGTTTTACAAAACCTACATTGGTTCATATTGCTGCCAGAGCCATTGGCCTGCATACTGGAGACCGGATTCGGTGACACAAGCTGTAGGGGGTTTGCCTGACCTAGTGCAGCTGCACCAAAACCTTGCTTAGGTCTTTGAGCTGCTCCAGTTCCGTCGAATGACGGTGGTGCCATGGCAGCGGCGCTCTGATCTATTGAATTCTGCGGTAGCTCGGGCTGGATCTCCGACTCTTCGTGTCCAGCCGCACCGGGGGTACCTTTGAGCTTCTTTGAATCCGGATCCCGGGGCTCATCATGACATAGATGGCCAATATTTCGCTTGATACATCTCGTGCATGGTCTCTCCTGTTCAATAGGGGTAAGGCCCCGGTTAATCTTAGCTCATGCAAACCTGGGCAACGCCCCCAAGCCATAGGCACAGGAAAGTAGGAACAGATCTTACATACGAGATCGCAAGTCATATGCTATAAGCCCGGAAATATTGGTATTAGCCAAGTACTTTGTGAAGCCCAACAACACGCACCAACGCGCGCACGCGCACAGATACGCACGCACAAATACTAGAAAAGACTCGGGCGCATCGCCCGTGACATCAGCAACCTAGGCGGTTGCAGTTGGGAAAAAAATAACCCATCCGTATAAACAAGGGGGGAGGGGCGCCAGCATTTCTACATGCGTAGATACGCAGACGTGGAACCAATGAATTAGAGCGTCTGACAAACTTGCTAAATGAGGACTTACAGATCGACGGCAGTATACACAAGCTGTAGGAACGCGCGACCAAGATTAGCCCACAGGACAGATAGATACGACGAGGACGGCATCGAGGTGAGTTAGGGTAATATTGGAATATTTAGAAGAATGGTACGGCATACCATGGTTTACCTTGCGCCTCTTCTTGGGGCTCTTATTGGTATTGTCAGGGGGTGTGGTGGTGGTTGAGGTCGTAGGGGTGTCGTCCTTAGACCTGGCGTCGCTGTCGGGCCTCTTGTCCTTGGCGTGGCTGCCATTACTTTCCATGACTGCGTCCTACTTGAGATGCTATCGGGACTGGTGTATGTGAGAGGCTCCCATTGGGTCCTCGGGTTACGCAATGGACATGTAGTTCGTAGACAATCGAGTTAGTTGCCGGCGGCTTTGTGCAGGACCAAGAGATGATTTGTTCAAGGGGTTCCGAAGAGAGGCTGCTGGTCGGCGATGAGCACTGCTGAGAGGGCGTCTGGGAATGACGGGCAAGATTTGGGGGGTGCGTATCGCGATCGACAAGGAGGAAATCTTGCCGGACCGAAGAGCTGTCGGCGTCCACGTGTGATCCAAGACCGCACACAACCAGGTACTAGATTGATTACCTTTCCTCCTTATCCAAACAAGACAAAGTCTCGGTTGCGATCGCGGCAGAGCGAGACTTGAGTTGAGAGGTGTGTGTGTTGAACGCAGACGTGGGTCAAGCTTCAAGCTAAGGTAAAGCTCAAAAAATTGTTGCCAAAGTACAAATTTCAAATATTTTCTACTAAAGTAAATTCCTCCAACGTTAGCCCAACTTTATCCTCAACGTTCCTCCTTCCTTTGTTTTTCCCGTTTTGAGTACTGGAAAAGGAAGGAATGAATGACATGACATAAATGGCCTCGACGTTGATTCGGGCAATCACGCTTCAGGCGCAAGACCAACGAGACCAATGGCGAGGGTCACAAGAACCCGGGTCCATCTTAATCCAGTAGGAAGAAGCCATGAGAGCCGAGGGGTTTAGAATTTTACAGGGGCCGAGGGGACTCGACTGGGAGCCGATTAGGAGCTAGAGGGGCGCTTTCGGCATGGTTTATAGTGGGGTTCTGGCCCTTAAGGCCGTTGGTTCCCCCTAAACGTCTTAGCGAATTATGGCTAACTAACATCTTGGGGGGACTAGGGGGAAGGCTTTCTAGCTAACCTAGACCGTTATAGAACGAATGGAAGCTACAAGTGGAGGCAGGGAGGTATGTAAAGCGCCTGCAAGTAAGGTAACCGATCTCTATGTAAGTGGTAACCTTTGTGCTTTACTCGCCGCTATCATGCCATGTCTAATGCGGGTCACTACCGGTGACGTCGTAGGTAATAAGAGGTAAGTATCGGACTATATAATAGAAGAGGTAGTTACAATAGTTACAACTGCAGTCAGCGTCACTTGACTTTTAAGCTTTTTATCTACCTCTTAAATAATTAATCACCTTTGGACAAGCCTAGACTATCATACCCAAGCACACCATCCCCAATTAACTTCTTGTGACATTACACATATGCCAAGCGCCTTTCGTGCGCGACAGTTCCCAGAGCCAAGCCTACGTACAGCCTTGATGAGCTTGGCTCGCATTGACGTTTGTCATTATTTGGTGGTGAAATATACGACCTTGAACTTACAAGTTTCATTGCCAAGTCTGTTTCCAGAGTCCCGGGTGCTCGAATCTGCAAAGCATATGCATCTCAGGCCAAGCCGACAAACGCATACATAATGACAACACCTCGACGGCCGAGGCCGAAGGCCGTTTGCATCTGCACGGCCATAGTGTTAGGCGCTTGAGCGGTAGGCGTCGCCTCCCTGCAGGGCTCGATCGACCTTTAGAATACTAGCACCATGCGAAAGTCGATGCTAGAATAGCCCATGTCGATGATCAGTCCTTTTGATCTCACTTCACGTACAGAAAGAAGTACAACCCACATACCCGTGTATAACGTGGTACAACTCCCTGTTATCCAGTAGAAATACATTTGCATTTAGAAAGCAGCCAGCGTATTCTTCACTACGGTACCACCGACGCCGTAGGTGGGAATACGCCGGGGTAACCAGTTTTAATTTATACGCCCTTGGGGTGTTGCAGTTTTCCCTGACTTTTTAGGTACTGATATATCGGTAGCCCTCTATCCGAGAGAGATAGCTCCGCGATGGGCGTCACGCGAGCTCGAGGATTCGCTCACGACTATGCAACTAGTATATGATGTGTCGGCTGATCTTGTTGGATCGCTTTTTTAATGTTTTTTTCTTCTGCTGTGTCCCTGATGCTACTATTAGGTTCGTCCTGTCAGGGCTGACCACGAGGGTCGAGTTACACCAGATAATTACAATACGACGAGACCATTTTTATTCCCCGTTAAGGTACCGGTCCGGTCGTCGATCTACCCGCTTCACCCGAAGCGCCTACCGACTCCGTGGTGCGGTCGTTTATCTCTTAGATACGCATTACCGCCCTATTAGATTTAGAGGTACCCCATAACACATTTATATCCGCAGCGCATCCCTTATTTCGGCAAATACGCAAGAGTTCAACCATACCTAAAGACGTTGGCGATTCTTTCAATCTCTCAGCTGCGCTTTTAATAATGGATACTCGTTTATTGTTATTTCGGCATTTAGTCTATAAGCTTTCAATATCCGCAATAAGCCAATGAAACCAGACACACCAGTACTGTCAGTCAGTTAGAATGGCTGCTATTAGCCCTAACGTACGCGTCACCAGCTGCACCGTTATTGTACGACATAACCCACCAATTGCCGTTTGAGTCGGGCACTTAAGTTTGCTTTTCTAACTTAAAGTAGAGATAGCTAAGTTGTCGATCCTGTTATATAAGTGGCAATACTATAGCCTTTATGAGCAAGTTCTTTTGTAACACAACGGTGTGATTTGGGGCGTACCTAATAAGTGCTTACTGTTTTTTATACACCTATTACCTAACCCTCTTATTATTATTATTATTATTGCTAACCTGAACAGTGACCTGGCAACAAATCATAACAGATCCATTGCGAGGTCCATCCTGCTCAACTGTATATGTTTAACCACGTTGGTCGGCATGAACCTTCTACAATTGTGCGAGGTGCATATTACCCCTGATGTAGTGCATAATCGATTTCCATCCGGATCGTCCTTATTCGTGTCTTTAGAGCTTAGTACCGGCCAGGAGTTCTATGGAACTTCATGACGCGGCATTTGATGTCGTTTCGGCCCTAGTCTCCAGGCCATTCAGCTTTCTAATAGATGCCCTACTTCTCCGAAGTAGCCGAATTTCTGACCGCTAGGTCAATAGTAGTATTGATACCGGTATGGCAGCCAATCCGAGTCATCGCCGTTCCATTGGGTAGCTCGAAGATTTTAGATTTGTAAGATCTTCCAGCCAGGTACCGTAATGTTCAGGCAGCCTCTAGGTAGGAGACTTGACCCCTTCGGCAAGAGAGCTCATGCATGGCTATGATATGCAATCATCAGCCAGAAGGTTGATACGTAAGAGGCGCCGAATACTTCTAAATACGGAATACGTCAACGCTGTGATTAATACGAGGTACCTACAGCAAAAGGTAAGCGACTTCTTGTACAACAACCGAGGAAACGAGGTTCTACCATGAAGAGGCGTCCTTTGAATCACCCTCCAACCCGGCCTTTATTAGCCAATCTTGTTTCAGGTATTCATAGCACAACAAGTAGAAAACGGCAGCAAGCGTCGACGTGGAGCTACCTATTGGAAATATAGATATCGTGTATACCTATTTCTGGTCTTTCACCATTGCCAAGTTGTCAATTTCACTTGACTTAGAATAATATACCAGGTCCCAAATTTACACGGATGAGGGATCGAGCCGATCCTACTTATGCCGAACCGACGTCCGGGAGATCCAGATGCCTTTAGCCTAATGGAGGTCTTACTTCCGACTCTAGAATGGTGGCGGTTGTGCTACATGTAAGGTACGCGTGGTTCGTGATTGGCCGGTGGCTTTTGTAAAGGGATAAATAGGATAGGCAGATAGGGCTAGAGCTACTAGTCTGAAGTCAATCAGTCAAGACCTATCCACGTATACTCTAGAATCAAGTGAATATGTTGGTAAGGCATACTTCATATGCCATCGAATGTAGTAGGAGTGAATCTACAATGTGTTAAAACCGCCGTGTTAGTACATGGAGTATCATCCCACCATAAGAAATCTGGCCGCAGAACATAAAGATTCGGAGCCAACAAGACTTGGATTCAGAATATACGCAAAGGGCCCTTCACTATGTAGAATCATGAGAGCTACCACTAAGAAAATGGCCAGCCATGGACAACTTAGAGAAGCAATAAAAATTGCTGAATAGTATATGTAGTCAACCAAATAGTCTGAGATTATAAAATCCTATTGTGTTTTATTAATCATTACAACACTCAGACATTCATACAACCATACACCCCCCAGCCTAGGTATTTCATCTCATTTTATCATATATGTATCTACCTACCTAGGTTAAGTATCTACCAACTTAACTTAGTTAACCTTACTTAACCTTGCCCATAATAGTCTCCGCGCCCCTAACGACATCCATCTGCGCCGCGCGCGCCTTGACCGCATTCAACATGCCCCTCTCAAAGTCATCGCGGGACCTGAGCACCGCCTCGACCCACGTGATCTGGAGGTCCCAATACTTGGTCTTGAAGTCCTGGAACACGTCCGGCACGCTCTCCTTCGGGGCGGTGAGTAGTCCTAAGAAGTCCTCAGTTACGCGCCAGCTCTGCGTGATGTCGTTGCTTAGGTCCGCGTTGGGGAGGGAGCGGAAGTACTCGAAGGCCGTGGACACGTCGTTGAAGAGCTTGTCTTGGAAGGGGTCTGTTCGTCGGAATTTGGCGCCCTTGTTGCGAACGCTCATTAGGTACTGCGCTAGGAGCTCGTCGGCTAGGATTTGGATGAAGACGTCGACGAGGGAGTGGTGCAGCACTTGTTGATAGTCGCCGATGTACTCTTCGATTGTGATTATCATTTGTTTCATCGTGGTCGTCTCGTACCATCGCGGCGTGAAGAATGTCGGCATCACGTTCTTGAAGTCGACTGATATGACGAGCTGCGCGAATTTGTTAAGACACCAGGTACTTAGGTCGATGTAGCTCTCGCTAAGCGAAGCGATCTCGTTATCGGCACGCTCCATGTATTGCGGCGTGACTAGCGGTTCGAACTTCTGCTTGAAGCTCGAAAGGTAGGCAAGGCGGCCCTCTTCTTCGTTATCGTCGATACACGCCATCTGGTCGTTGGCCGTCGCAATGAGCCAATCCTGTAATGCCTGGAAACCCTCTAACTCGGGTATCTTGTCTGCTTCGTATATTGCCGCTTCCTCCTCGAGCATCTTCTGGAAAGACTGCTGGCGGCCGCGCAGCCGGAGGAACATGGCGTCAATAACACCCTCGGCGACATCTGTTCTCTGCGAGTTTGCAGCCGCATCGACCTGTTCCCGTAACATACGCCACATATCGACCAGATTCTTGGTTCGGAAATAGCCATACTCATCCGTATCCAAGTTCGAGCCCTCCACGTTTCGGTCCGCAAAGTCGCGCCTCTCCTGCGCGAAAATCCGCTCGATCCACTCGTCGAGGAATTTGATGATGAGCTGGCGGAAGTCCTTGACCAACTCTTGCTCCCGGTTGTCGATTACGTGGGGTCTGAGATCGCTCTCCGAGAAACCGAGTTTCCGCATCTTCTTGTAGTACTTCTCGGGCCAGTTGATGATCTCGAGCGTGTTTGCCGAGCTCGATTCGGGGTCGTCTATCATGCCGACTAGGAAGTCGTGCATTAGTTGGTGATATATATCACCGTAAGTCTTGAGTATCTTCCATTTCTTGGGCATCAAGGGTACCATTCCTTGCTTAACGGCGTTGAGATCGTTGAAGAACCACTTCATTATTTTGTCTAACTTTGTGGGATCATCCAGGAACTCCCCCCTAGCTTCGGCAAACTGTCCTTCGCAATTGACAGAAATCGCCTTTAGGAATTTCTCCTTATATCCTCGGACTTTCTTGGCGCCATCCGTAATACTTTGGAATCGCGTTGCCATTTCCTTGTGGTCCTTCAATGCTTCCTGTAGAGCTTCGACTCTTTGATCGCTTTTCTCCTCGGCCTCGACGATGATTGCTAGGCGGACCACGAGGCTATTGTTATCGGCAATCAGGAGGTTGATCATGTTTAACGCAATGAGACCGACGTGCTCGTCGAACCAGTCTATTGCGTCGTCTAGCCTCGAAAAGTAGTTTTCTAGTGTGGATTGTAGGCTAGGGTCGTCGGCTCGTCGTATCTGTTCCATAGCATCGTCTCGAATATTTCGTAGCTGCGTTAATTCGTAATGAACTGAAAGGAGATTTGGCATATTCTCCTTGTCTTCCTCGTCTTCTCTCAACATACTCTCAACCCTATTAAGGCGATCGTTAAATGTCTGGAGATTTTCCACCATGAGTTCTACTGCACCAAAATTCCTGTGGGCCTGTGATACTAAATTTATGCTAGTAAAGTCTTTAATCATGTCCTGCGACTCGGAGCAAAGCTTGTCGATCTTCATCATTTCGTCCCTAATCGCCTGTAACGTCTTTTGGCCATCGGTAATGCCATTCATACCAGTTTGTGTCATCTCTAACTGATCCCTCAAGCCTCCCCTTAGCTGCGAGTCTACGGCAGCTTTCTTGCGCGTGAATTCCAGCTTCAGCGCGGGGATCTTGTCGAGGTCATCTGGATGTCGGAGGAGCTCCGAGAGCTTGACTGGCGGCGCGTCCATGGTGAAGTCGGCGGGGCACCGCTACGACCGTCATACGGGTTTTCGTATTTCAGATCATTCCGCAGTAAATCTATGGATGCGCCACGTTAGTAAAATCAGTTGCGTTCGCTGTTGCTGTCGTCGTTTGTGGTATAGAAGGATTGGATTCGTTGGATTACGTGGAAAGTGATGGCTAATTGGCCGAGATGCGCCTTCAGAAGTTCAGCCTACGAATTGACGTTAAGGTGAACCTTGATAGCTTGATAGCTTATCTGATAAGAGCATAGCTACCAGTACCTGTAATATGCAATAATCCATATTATACAGGTAACCATCACTGGTTATAATGTTTGTCCCCCTATTCACAAAAGCATAACAAAGCCAGCATTGCTCTACCCCAGTGAATTAGGTTGTCTCATTATAGAATGTATAATAATAGATACATGTATTATATCATATTTAGCTTGGCAATGGCTTCGTTCTATAAAAATCCCAATTATCCTACTTTGACTAAAAGAATCAAGGCTATAGTCAAACAAAATGTCCATTCCGGAATTATCACACTACGCTTTTGAACGCCTCGCAAAATCTCTATGGCAATAGATCATTATTTAAATATCTTTCAATTAGACGGAGCTGTTTTTTCAACGCCGTAACCAACTCACATCACTGCCGCTCTTCCGTGAAGAGTTGCTGAGATCTGGTCTTTCCGTTATATTCCTTAGCTCATCGCGGTGCGGCATCAGTGCCTCATTAAATTCTTTTGTATTCTCTTCCCCATCCTCTACACGGTGTTGAACTTCCGTCGTGACCGTAATAGCACCCGTCTGATCGCTCTTATGCGGGAATATCTCGTACTGGCTGTCGTTCTCGCTGATCGCGTCTATCTCCATGGCCGTCACCCGGCTTGTCGTCCCGAACACGTTCGACCTATGCTGACATCTCATCTTCGGCTTGTGTGATTGTATGTACTCTTTGTGGCTCCAACTCTTGAGTGGTATCGAGAGGTTCCCAAGTCCGGAGTGGCTATACGAGCCTCCGCCGGATGGGAGTCCGAGGGCGCTGCTGAGTCCAGGGATAAATGCTGCAACCTGTCTGAGCGACGGGATGCAGGAGCATATTATGAGCGAGCATATCTCCACCATTGACCATATAAGGGGCTCTGCAAGTTGGTCTATTATACTGTTACTAGCCGTCCATCTTCCATAGCCATTGGAGTACTTACATGTATCATCATGGCCTATGGATGTAACGTAGACAATGCGAATTACGGATATAGACGTTACCCTAGACCCGTGTTTAGCAGAATTTTATAGGCGCTCCAGGTCGAGATACTCACAGCAAGCCCAGCGAAAGCATGAAGATCAGTCCCAGTCTTTTGGTAAGAGGTAGTTGGAGCCTCCACGTCGAGGGTATAGGTTCAAGAAATAGGGCGAGATCGGTGATTAGGTTGAAGACGAACTAGTCGTCGAAGGTATACCGGTCAGCACTTTTAACACAGCGAGTCGGATTTGAATCACTTACAGAAGAATACCAAAGCGGATGGAGATCGAGGCACGAGCCCTCCAGCGTGAAGTCCCACGATTTTCGAATAGGGCTGCATTTGAATAGGACAACACAGGTTTCCTCAATGGCCTGCATGGAGAGAAACACGATTAAAAATTTATTAACAATCCTGAACCCGCCCTCGGGGAATATTCTGAGGTATAGCACCGCAAAGCTGGCCTTCGCTGTTGCAACACCCCAGCTAAACGTAATCGAGCTAGCGATTTGAAGCTAGAAGGTGTCAGCTTAGGCGTGAGCGATACTATTATCAATTGGCTTCCCACCTCTAGGTATTTTTTATAGTCGGCATCGTCGACTTCATCACGATGGTCCCCGAGTCCGTGTCGCGTAGCTTTGTTACGGTTAACCTAGAGCTGTATAGATAGAGGAAAGAGATCGATGCCATACCAAGCATTACGGAAGAACATATCCCTATTGATAATATCTACAATGGTTAGTTAGTAATCCATTAAAGTGTCTTGTACATGTTTTAGATCCCCAGGGAGCGACATACCCAACTCAGAAAAATTAGAACTGCGAGAGATAAGTAAACATCCACCAAAGAATTTTAGAAGTCATAGGAAAACTAACCATCATCCACTCCCATAGTCTTATGAAGCCATCGAGCCGTAATCCTCGAGGCCATAGATACCGCCGTGATCGCAATCAACAACGCTCCGGCACAGACGACCGAATGTGTCTTGGAATCGGCCATTATCGCCGATTTCAAACGTGGGTCGTTACCGCAGAAGGTATCTTCGACCCAGACTCATGGGTCGAAGGAGTGGATGTCATACTTATTATACATACCCAGTAGGCAAAGCCAAGATATTCCTGGGTAAATACACTACTTAGGGCACGTTCTATTCTCTGTAACGATCCTTTTTTATTATACGAGCTAAGTACATGGGAGCACACGCTAGACCCTCGGTTGGACTTTTTTCGTTCCAGAAGCTACCTAGGGACTGGGGTTGGGGCCTGAGGCCTGGGTTATGGTAATATGTATGCCAGGTATTGTACCATGAGCAATCCTGTCGGTAGACTAGGTAGAGCCAAGTTGTAGCTGAAGATAAGCATGAGTTTAAGGCATAGAGTTACTCCCGGGGAAACCTGTTCTTCCATGTATATAATTCGGTGATGTCTAAGCTAGGTGAGTTCGACCCGGCGAACTCCCTATTTAACATAATGGCGTTCCCACATAATTGTACACATATATCGCATCTGTTTTGACGATGCCCCTAATGAACTCTTATCGATTCGGGTCAAGACGGTAATAAGGGAGTAATGGGAGACTAGGGCACCCTAGATGGGTTATTTCCAGCTTGCTACCTACAGTGAGTCTCAAAGTAAAATACATGAGTAACATGTTCGCCATAAATGGACCTTGGGGAAAGATCCCTAGGTTAGTAGGTCAAGTTGCTCAGGTTACTGCCCACGTGTATAGACCCGAGAGTATGGTTAAGCCCAAACGACTCGATCTATGTACATAGACAAGATCGAGGAACAACCAACTGATCAACTCTGAGGTTTTACCTACACGTCCAACCACACACCATTCCAAACCCCTACAGTCTGTATTTCTCCGAGGACAACGATATCGTGCATGCAACCGATGCACCGCAATCTCAACATTCATATCATCTTGACCCAGAACCATAGTAGGCGAGAACAAGGATGCGCTAACTGGTATAGTGTATGTAGCCAGGGGTGAACCAGGGAAGCGTTTAACCTAGCCGCTGCGCTAATCTGCTGGATGCTACTGGATTCAACTAAGAGCTGGGGTAAGGAAATTATACGAACATGCTACCGGCCAGTCGGCAACCCTGACATACACTATGTGATCTGCAGTCGATACAGTTTCGTCATTAATTGCCGATAACTACCTATCTTATGACCCGGGTCTTGTTAGCCGAGAGATTGGTTATGACGCGGGTACTTTTATAAGGCCCTTTATGTAGCAATGTATGTAGGGAGCCTATTCGCAGTTCTGTCATGTGCCATTGCTCCCATGTATAATACAGCCTCATATAGATCCCAAGTGGGCTTCAAATGCACATCGTATAGCTACCTAGACAGCCCCAGTAATAGTCGGTTATACTAGGTCGAGTAGAAAAAGAAGGAAACCCGAGACTAAAAAAGTGAAGACGGAGCTGAATTCCAAGTCGCCTACATAGAATAGACTACGAACGGCTTCAAGCCAAGAATAGACAGGTAACCTAACCTAGACGTTTACGGATCTGTACACGATACCTTATCCACCTCCAAACACCACAAATACGCGTATAGCGAACTGAGCACACCAACCAAGCTCCAAAGCGCCTAGGCACTCCCACCCCGACGAACCGGCTGTCTCCCACGCGTCTGAGCGCCCCTCCCTAAGGCGAAACTTGTTTGACGTTGGTTGTTATTCGCATCGGCATAAGGCATAAATAATGTAACGCCTTATCTTCCGGGGTATGTAGATGCCACACAGACGCGAACTACTACCAACAGACGCGAATTTCGGAGATCTTATTTTAGAGGTTGGTGTGGTATGGTATGGTTTACGGCAGTGAGTAGATGGCGATGGCGATGGCGATGGCGATGACAAGCTAGTACTATGAGATGGTAGTTCCGGATCGCCATGGGAGCCTTGGGGTAGTAGTTCGGTTCTCGCAATCACGGCACTTGAACTCATAGATCCAGGAGTACAAGTTTGCTGTCCATGTTTAAACGATAGTGTCAAGTACCTACAGTACCTACCTATGTTATTGAAACCAAACTAGCCCAGCTAATCCCTGTATGGTCTTCAATATCATATCGTCATTATGCTATACGTTGCTTCAAGCTGGATCTAGGTAGTAGGTAGGTACATCATATTCTACACATCAACCTCTCAATCAGCATCCAGCCTCGCAACCGGAGCGTTATCGTTAACCTGAATGCCGCCACGTTTCTTCTCATCCGAGTCCCAAAACGGCAACCTCCATCCCCCCTCGTCCTGCGGCACCGCCAACCACAACCTCAGCAGATGCCGCCTCGGCTTGCCGCTGTCGGGCCCAAAGTCGCGGTACGCCGTCCTGGCGTGCAGCGTGTGCGAGTTGGCCACGAACTGGATGTCGCCCACGTCCAGTATCATGTGCAGCTTCACCCTCTCGCACGTCTCTTCGAGAATCCGCGTGGCTTCCTGCTGCTCGGGCGACAGCGGCGGGATGATGCCCTGGTCCGAGAACCGCGTTAGGCTGCGCACGTAGTACGGATCCCACTTGCAGTAGACGCGCTGCTCGCGCTCGGGGTGGGCCGGGTCCGACGTCTCCAGGTAGAACACGGATGTCCGGATGTACGGCTCCTCGCCCTCCGAGACCTCGCCCTTGCGGTCAAAGTACCAGACCGGTTGCGTGAGCAGCTCGGCGACATCTGGACGCTCTGCCTGCAGGATGTTCCAGACGTTGTGGATGGACGCTACGTCCGACTCGCCGCCAAACTCGGCTTTCGAGAGGCATAATAGGCCTACGATGTCACAATCGTCGGCGTGGAAGAACTGCCGCGCGTTGGTCCGGTATATTCGCACTTTGTCGATCTGCGTGCTGTCCTCGCCGAGGTCCTTGACGTGGCCTAGGATGTGGCCGTGGCCGTTTTGCGATACCGGGTAGCCGATGTAGACGCCCAGGCCCATGTAGGCGACCGCTGATTTGGGAGTGCCCCATTCGTCGACGGGGAAGCCTTTGTATAGGATGAATCCCTTTCCGTTTAGGAGCTCTCGACGCATGGTTTTTAACGATGGCTCTAAACCTGGAAGACGGAAGTTTTCTTTCGAGATTCCAGTTAAGGGTAGACCTAATTCGATAAAGCCATCTGCCGCCTTGGATATCTCATCGAGTTCGTCTTCGGAGAACTGGTGAACCCATCTCTCCGGGTTGCTGGCATAGTCCTCTGCCTTCCATTCCGTGGGTCCCTCGATGTGCTTAGGAAAAGAGCTGTAGGGGTAGAGCTTATCATACAGTGGTGGATGTTGACCTATACAGCAATGAGTAACTGCTCGGTATAGAGGAATTTTTAATTAGGGATTGTTCTAACCTGTTGTCTTTAATCCATCTGGAAATATCGAGTGATCAACTTGCTTAGCCTTGGCCTTTAGGCCCTGAATCACATCAACCGGTGTCTCAATATCTACGGCGGGAGCCATGACTGGGTAGCTATCCTCTGGTCTATCCTCTGGTCTATCCCGATATGTCTAAGGGTGAGATCAGGGTGTCCGAGTTGGAGGATGTAGGAGGGTGACTGATTAAGAGATAAGGTATAAATTCATTCCGTGTGGTTAAATAGCTATCTCCGTGCACTGCCGTCACCTTTATCATCTACAAGATAGCCGAATAATGGCATCATGTATTATCTCCTACCGCCATCTTAGGCCGTAAGGGGGAATCAAGATTAGGTTAAAGGCACTGTAACCTTTTTCCTTTCTCCCTATCTTCCCCTCTACGGTCTACCTATCGCGGGGCTTCGATCACGCAATACCTAGCACGCAATCCTAGGCCAGGTTGCACCATTGTGTATCATTCATATGTGTTTACTATACGCAAAATACAGCAACGATTGGCCAATTCCTTCTACTTTCGTGTATGTGTTCCGAAGTCTAAGCATCAAAACATCCATCTACACGCGTGTCGTCGGCCTTGGCGTCATCATGTTGAAGATGATTTGGATTTCTCGGGGCGATCCGATCGAATTGATAGAATAACATGTGGCCCGATTGTTTCTAGAAGTCATCTTAAAACAATGGAATTCTCCAGCACGCCATAGCGGGCCAAGATAACAGAAACACATTAGTAGGAGAACATCGCGATGAAGTCCGACGACATCGGAGTGAGGGGATAATCGGCTACGATACCCTTTTCAGTTCAAGGCGCTCGCAACTCATACTTAAATATTATTGGATGCATAGGACTTAGCTTTATAGAGTTAAGTGTTATGTATGAAAGATTTCCCCTTGACATCTCACAATAGCTTCTCGTATAATCTATATCTGGCTATAAATAGGAAGTTGATTATTATTCCGCAATAACATCTCCGATAACACTACACAGGTTAGGTAACTTCAGGCACATAAATCTAATTCGCCCCTCAAAGTCCACTTGATCCGACGTTGCCTTTGAAGTCCAACTAAGTGATATGATGTAAGGCACTGACATTACTTTTTTATTATTTTTAAGTCGGCAGTATTTAATAACTGAACCGGATTAACATGTGCTGCGGTAGGTATGGATGTTATATGTCACTTAGACGTAAGTAAATATTAAAGAAATATTGTTATTAGATATAAGCCGCGGGCTCATCATCCAAGACGGCCCATAAGAGAAAAGAAATATAAAAGGGGAAAAATGATATTATCGATTCATTCGCATGCGTAAGTGGGTATCTCTCATCTCGCTCATAAAGCGTCAAAAATCATATGCCAGCATTCTCATACTCTCTCTTCTTCTTCCTTTTTCTTCCAGTTCTCTTCTCTTCTTCTCTCCTCTCATCCCTCCTACTTTTTATGCAAAAGACTCGACACCGACCTCGAAAGTGGACTGGGCTGGAACCCCGGGTGTTCCTGGGTCTGCAAACCCGGCCTTAACTCCTGCGCCTCCCCTTGTTCTTCTTCGCCCAACAACCGACCCTTCCCCTCGTAATCCCCATCGCTCTGCGGCGGCGCGCACTTGATCTCGCCCCTTAGAATCTCGACCACCGTCGCCAGCGGCAAGAGCAACATGCCCACCGAGAGCAACTGTCCGAAACTCCACTCCCGCTCGCCGCTATCGCTCAGCCGGATAGGCGTCGAGAGCGCGAACGCATCGGCGAGGTACGCCACGCGGACAGTCGCTCCGACCGCAAAGGCCGCCATGAGCACCAGCCCGACAGCCTGCACCGCTGCATAGAAGCGCCGCGTGCGCGCGTGCAGATACCATATCGCCAGCGCGAAAATCACCACGTTCCCCACAATCACGGCGCCGGTGCCCACGTACGAGACGGCCGCGTTGCCGGCCGGGGCCCCGTCCCGCGTCTCCGGACGCCACGCGCATTCGACGGGGAACGTGGCGTCGTTGATGCCGCGCTGCACCGAGCGCAGGATGTATATCCCGTACGTGCACGACAGCACCAGGTTGACGAGCATGAGCAGCTCGCGCATCCAGCGGAGCACCCAGTCGCGGCGGAAGTCGCGCGCGAGAGCGAGCAGGGTGGCGTTGTGCACGGCCATGGACAGGAGGGAAAGCATCCACACGAGGAAGAAGTGGTACGGGACGAGGCTCGACCGTTTGGCCAGGCCGACGGATTGGATGCCGATGCCGGTGAGGATCTGCTGGTCCGAGTACGAGTTGAGCAGCTTGCGGCGGAGGATGGAGGGTTTCTGGGCGTTGCACATTTCTTGGAAGACCAGCGAGGCGCTGATGAGGAGGGCTATCGCGGCCGTGACTATGAAGGAGAGGAGCACGCCAATGCCTGCGATGCCCGCATCGCTGGGGACGGCGGCCGGCGCGTCGGTGCAGTTCATTGCGAACAAGCGGACGGTTACGAGATGTACTACAGGTTCTTTATCGAATCGTCTAAACTAGGTCTCAAGAGAGAGAAAAAGAGAGAGATAGAGAGATAAACAACTTCAAAAATGGTAGCAACACTCCCTCGCAGCAACAACGCAGCGAATTTGGCGGGTGGCGGTAAATATATTATATATCAACGCCAAACCCACGAGCAATAAACCACGTTTCATAAGGAACATAAAGAACCTACAAGAAAGCGAGCAAATAATAGTTTCCATTAACTAACATAACCTAAATAACCTAACCAAATTGTTCTGGAATCCCGCCCGCCCTTTGTACATATGTATGTGCAAGTCCCCTCTCTCCCCTCCCCTGTCTTACACAGTGACGTCGCCCTCGATGTCAATACATAGTACCTAAGCGCCCCGGATGAAACGTCGAGCAGATCGCTTGGACCCCTGTTGTTGGTTAATCTACTGGGTGGGAGAAGCTCGTCGACATGTCTAAGTGCGGCTGTGCTTTTCAGGCTTCAGTTTCTGGCCGCTGCGATTCGACGGTAGCGAGCTAATGTCGCATCAATTTAAAGACTCTGCGGCTATGTATTTGTTAAGACAACCTTTTACTTTTATATTTGTATTTTCTTTTTAATATTTAACCTCCTGACTACCATCATCACCTTATGTGTGTGACGCAGATGAGTTAAGTTGAGAGCACCTACACATAAGAATATCAGGGACATATCAGATATCAAGCGGCAAAAACGCATATGTGAGTAAATAAGTCGTAAATTCAACCTCGAAGTTGAACCTGTCCAATAACATCAACTATAACTACCTAACCTCCTAGGAAACTATCGCGAGCCCGCGAGTCTAAAATCTATCAAAAGGTCGTAGCTTAGCTCGTGTCATCAATTTCTCCGCCCTATGTGTTCCTCGTATCGAGGAGGCCTTTTGTCTTTACTAGCAAGAAAAAGGGAAAGACCAGCTGGGATATCAATGAAAATAAACGATTGCTGCCTCCAACTCCATCCAACTCCGACGCCCTCGCGGCGCTGAGACCTTGCTTTAAGCAGTAGGGGCGTGCCCTTAAACCTCCGTCCGTGTTAAGCCTCTCGAAGAGCTGGCTCTGCTAGAGCGTTTTGCTAAACATGTAAATACTCTAATGCAATCCCTTTTTCTTTTCTCCACTTGGTTAGACTTTTGTGACTTCGTAACGTGCTGTTTGTCCGCCAATGCAATATTATGCCTTTCTTTGCCTTTTGGTAGCTCGGCCAGGGCTATCGTCTAAATCATTTCGCAATATCTCCTCGGTACCGCTCGGACTTGGCGACTTGTGGCTTGGCGTGTTTGTCTCTATAATCCGCCCAGTGTTTAGACCATCTGTGGCAGCAAACTCGCTGCCGTCAGCATTCCAGTCAAAATTCGTACCGTCGTTGAAGGTTGTGGTATCAAAGTTGAAGTCGTTTCCGGATGCGTCAGCGGTATATGCATTTGGGTCAAGGTATTGGTTTAGGTCGATGTTATCATCAAAATAGGCACTCGAGTCATCCAGGCCAGGTATTCGACCTGATGGGCTCAGGGGACCTAGCAGGTGGTTGAGATCATCCAGCTTCTGGGCCTGTTCGCTTTGTAGGCGTTGAAGCTGTTCGAGCTCTTCCTCTGTTTGTGATATCCGTTGGATCGACGGTGGAGGGATTGATGATAAGATAGGGGATAGTGAATTGCGCCCGCTCACGGCTGGTACACCTCCAGATAATGGAATTCCTACCGAGGATGGGCTTGTGGCTGCCGGTATTGGGGGCGAAGAGACCGAGGAGAGAGGAGTGGGAGTAATATGGCTATGACCGCCAGACATGATGCTTAACATGCGGTTCCGCTGGTCATTTGTCAGAGTTGCCGACGTATGAGCAGCAACATTGGGTAGGTCAACGGAATGATTTCCCGCATTCGTGTTCGCGTCTTGAATGATCTTCATCATGCCCTCCTGAGGATTCGACTCGAGTTCTTGTTTGAGGTAAGCGGGAGTAGGCGGCTCTGTCGGTGTGTCAAGGACTTCCGTGACATGCCCCATCTGTGGTGATTGCTGCTGATTCGAATAGTTTGAAAACGGCGCGGGAGTACCGGCCGTGGGGGTCATCACTGGGGGTGTTTTAATGCCTTGGTTCTGAGGAATGGGAGGCAAAAGGCGGTGCTGCCTCTTCGGTGTACCCACCGGTGCTGAGCTACTGGGCACCTGCTGTTGCACCCAATCTCCTAGATCAACCACACTACCTTGGCCTTGCGCCGTTGGCATCTGAACATTAGGTATGATGCTGGCTAGTAGGTCATTCACATTCTGCACGCCTCCTTGCTCCTCGAGCGACTTTCTAAAGACGTTCGCTAGGAAATTTAGGATGGCATTGATGGAGTTCTCATGACGATCATGCATATTCTGGAACATGATTGCTTGTTGATAAAGCTGGTTATGCTCTTGTCGGAGCCGCTGGATGGCTTCGCTGATTTGCTTCTGCCGCGTCTGCAGTGCCGCCATCTGGTCCCTGACGACTGCCAACTCCTTCTTTTGGAGGGGCCCTGTCTCCGGTGCTGGTAATGCTCGGCTCTGCGCAGTTTGCTGAGGGAAAGCATGGCTGATGGCTTCATCTGCCACTGTAACATCCTCGTCGCTCTCACCCTCACCTTCCTGTGGTTTCTTGATAGGCTTCTTGGGGCCACCGCTTTTCGGCTTGTTGATTAGCCAAAGCAGATTCGGGTGACCACGCTTGAAGTAAGGGTTGTAGTATTCGCTTGGGCTCTTGTTCTTACGTTCGCTAGCCTTCATAGAATTATCTGAAAGACCAACTTTCTTGTGGAATCCGTACATGTTGAGTTGCCGAACAAAGGATGCGTAGTTATTGTGCTTGAAGAGCTCAGGAATCAAGGACTTGGCAAACTCATCTTCATCGAGAACAATAAAAGAGTCACCCTTTTCTGACCACCTAATTAGATCTGTATTCTTCGATTCTTCCAAGAAACTGTTGAGAATGTTAGCAGTGTAAGCGTAGCGTTAGAAATGCATCACGCATACCTATTCAACTTTTGCACGAAAGGAGGGATCTGCTTCCGCTTCGCCTGAGCCTCCCTCTTTGCCCTCTGGGCCTTCTCCTCAAGTAACTCTATATTGTCGTGTTCGTCGACAGTCCCATTAGGCTGGCTTGCAATCAAGTTCTCGTCAAAGCCCGGCCATGTGTCGTTTTGTTGCGGAGTGAATGCACGATTAGTGGCAACGAGAGCATTGTTCATGCCTCGCCTCGCAAGGGCATTCGAAGGGGTAGCTTGGGGGTACTGTGATGGCGCCGAGGGTGGCATAACGCCGTAAGAGTTTACTCCATTCGAAGTGTTATCAACGAAGGTCCCTGCGTTATTACCATTCCACCTTAACAACTGGTCTGGTGTACTATATGGTGTCGCCATTGGGTGTTGTATCGGTATACTACCGGGTGCTGGCCTTTTTCGAGGATTCGGTGATGACATAGGGTGGTAGTAACTGTACATGAACCACGACCAAGGGAAGTGGTTCTGTGAGCGGGGGTAAGCGTAGCTACCGGTCTACTTCACCAGAAGACGATTATCAGTATCGTATATCCCGTAGACGAATGGCTCGTAGTACTATACGCCGCTAAATCTAATAAGATTGGAATACAAAATATGGCGGGGATGGTCGACGTGGACCAAAGTTAGGTGTCAAAGAGGGGAAATCGTAGGAGCGGGGAGTTGGAAGTTGGAAGGGAGCGAAGATTGTGAGAGCGGTGGTAGGACCGTGTATGAAGCCGCAAGGCTATCGAGAGATGGTAGGCGATCGGTTTAGGCGGCTAGGCTAGGCGCGCACGTTTTTTTCTGCCGAATAGTTGTCGCCGCGCAAGGCTGTGATATCGTTTCGGTGAGAAGGAACGCGATGGTTAGGTATGGATCAAGGCGACCAATCAGACGTGAAAAGATTATGCGCGCAGATTTTCAGATTTGGCTGCAGATTTCGTAGGGAATGTCAGGTTCTGGTAGATTTCAATTCCGATGGAGTAAAATGGTGGGTTCCAGGCTTTCCTGCGCACTCATAGCTCTGCCTATATACCGGCCGAGCTTCATAAAGAGCTTGAACGACAACAGAAGGAATTGAGACAGCACTAGAAGCTGTAAAGAGCCTTCAAGACTCCCGATCAAGTTGTCTCTAGTAGTTGCGACAACAATCAAGTGAACAGCCTGAGAGGTGGGAGTCAGTCAAGGGTAGAAAACAAGGGTAGATGGTAAAGCTCGTTGTTCTCGAAGTCGCAAAAGAACAGTTCGATGTCCCAGATTGTCTAAGGTAGATTAAATAAATCGCCGACATGTATCCAGCCTAACATTCTGGAGACGTATATTCAAGGTGACGCAGGTGCGCAAAGTTGAGTAAAGTTGAATGTGTGGACGCCAGCGTGGAGCGTGGAGCGTGGTCGAGGGGACGGGAATGTAAATGGGAATGCAAAATGGGAATGTAAGCTTTTGATGGGATTTTTAAAATTGACCGGCCTTCCGGCTCACACGCCGTGACACACCCAAGACAGAAGAATTCGTTCTTTCCGTGTCTTGGCTTAGTTCTTTCTATGTACTGTGCGCACTGGCACCAAACCGAACCGAACCGAGAATTGAGGAAACGACCTCCCAAGAGCAAGTACCTAAGGCGTATGGGCGGGACAAGGAAGCAACCTGGAGAGAAGTTTCAAAACAATTTGAACCAAACTTCAATTATAGTAGCTGGCATCAATGTTCATTGTAGATGCTCAAGTATAACATAAAAATAATACGAAATGTAGGTAAGTATACCTATATTTATGAATGGAATCTAGATACACTATACATAGGTAGCGTCAGCTTACATAGCATAGGTATACATCAGGTACCTAATAGACTGATAGAACTGATAACACGATAACTTGCGCTAAGTACCGTACCTTCGCTAAAATTTTGATGGGTGCGTTGTTGTTTATTGCCTGCAACCCTCCCGCGAAACGGGCTTGACAGAATTAACATGGCCCACTATGTAGAATGTACCTGGTTAGTACCTGTGTATGTAAGTTGATGGCACATGTGTTACAGGCCTATAGCATGGTCTACAAATTGATACTGCATAGTACATACATGTAGCCATCTGGCCAATCAGTTAGCGAAAATGATAAGATATTCTGGTATAAGGCTATCATCGTAATTCATACAATCAGCTGATTATCTCGTCATAGAGTATCTAGCTTAACTATACACTATACATATATGTTCTATGAACTCATCCCATTGGATATCAAGACCCTCGGCTCTCTATGTATACCTATGTATGTACTGTCACCATATCTATCGTCTTACGATCTTCAAGTTTATTGATGGTGTTTGCATAGACTGCGGAGAACGGTATACAGGGATGTCATACATATGTACATATGGTGCGGAGCATTATGAGCGAAACCATACCCAAAACTGTCAAGCTGTGGAGTTATTAATAAGAGCCATGTCCCGAACACCTACATAGATGATAATACAGGTCCGGACCATCATCTCCAGTCGATGCGACGCTAAGCCGAAGTGCTGGAGGCTTGTAAGATCCAGCTTGACCAATCATAAGTGTCCAGATATACCATAGCTTTCCCCATAGTATGATGAAACTTCGATTCTCAGCGTTATGCACGATTGTACCGCAATATCGAAAAGTCTTAGGTTAGGCTTTCACATCTTTACATGTGTTTGTAGGACCCACGCAGCTTGTCAAAATGCAAACCTCCTTTTTTTAAACGAAGACCAAGGGGGAAAACACCCATGCCAGCTTCAACCTCGGAAGGCGATAGAATTTTCTAAAATCAAGGGGTATCAATGGTCATTTCAAGCCTCAAGAGATACGGTGGAAAAGTTCCTATGGTGAGCATGTCACTTAGCTCCTCTGCCAGCCAGAGCCGATGCTCTCGCTAACTTGGCATTCCTCGCTTGGTCCCATTCCCTTCCGGAGTTTCCAGCCTGTGCCTCTCTTTGAGCCCTCTTCTCCTCCTTAAGCGTCCGGGCTTTTTCTCTCGGGTCAATGACAACCAATTCCTCTTCGGCCTTCTTCCGGTATGACAAGTCTTTACCAAGCTTGTCAGCTGCAAAGCTCAAGGCGTGAGACATCCAGCCCTCGTCATCGCTCTCTTCCTTTTCAGCCTTGTCCCACGAGTTGCAGCTTTGGCAGTTGGCAATAAAGTGTAGATCGCATAGTTCCGCCTCGTCGTCTTGCTCGCCCGAACCTTGCTCGGCGCCATTCTCCTCCGTAGTCACGTTTAGTTGTTCTTTTTCGGGTCCTGCTTGGCTGAGCTTGGAGCGAAAGGCTTGAAGCTTTAGTAAATCATCGTTTATGGCAGGCCCCTCGCCTCCTCTTCTCCTTTTCCGGCCCCGCGTAGAAGTCTCTGGTATTAATTGCTCTAGTGCCGTTTTCTTAACCTCCTCGATTGGCTTAGAATGAATAGTCCGTTTCATAGATGCCTTCAAGGCTGCGATCTCTTCATTTGCTTGCTCTAGTGCGGATTTCTTTGGTGGCTCTGGCTCTGGAGACGATTCATCCTGAATTCGGATAGGTACACTCTTCGTAGGTGGTGGGGATGGTTTCGTCTCCAATTTCGAGTCAGTTCGAAGTTCACGAACTGGTATAGAAGGCCCAGTCGCCTTGGCCTCATGCTTACTACTGCTCTTCGTCGGCTTGGCGGCGGGTGTTGGCTCTTCGTCTACGTCCATGACAATACGCGAGTCGAATTTTGCCTTTTTTAGGACCGGCGCGTCATCGTCGCCTTCTTCGTCTCCAAAACTCAATAACTTCTTCCCCGCCTTAGATTTGGGTTTCTTCTTCTTCTCAGTAGCAGGCGCCTCGTGGGTTCGTTTAGCAATCCTTTCTCGCTTTTTCATATTATCAAAAGGATTAACAAGAATCTCTACACTTGTGATCCTTATAGGGTAGAGGGGCCGTTCGGTTCCTTCTGCTATTTCTGCCTCACCCATGCGGGTCAAGTTGTAAATTGTATCGCCCACTACTCTCCCAAACACTGTATTCTTGTTGTTCAGTTCCTCGGCCTTTTCCAGTGTAAAGAAGAATTGGCTGGCGTTTGTATCCGGTTTGCTCTCGTTGGCCATACCCAACAGCCCCCTTCGGTTGAATTTTAGTCGCGAATGAAACTCGTCTTTGAAGTTTACACCCGTAGGTCCAGCATTCTTCCCACGGCGCTGATCCATGGGCCACGGATCCAGATCGCCGCTATATGCGCCGCCATCGTAAATGGATTCTCCCCCGTTTCCTGTCCCAGTGGGATCACCTCCTTGTATGATAAAACCAGGAACCAGGCGATGAAATATCGTATTGTCGTAATATCCATCGATACACAGCTGGAGGAAGTTTCGCGATGTGAGCGGCGTCTGTTTTGCGAATAGCTCGACCGATAAGTCGCCCAGTGTCGTATGCAGAATCAGCGAAGCGGTAGGCTGAGGCTCGAGATTGTAGATGGAGGACATATTGCGCAGCGACCTCAAATAACGGTCAATGGAGAATTTGAGCTAGAGGAAAAGCAGAATTTGATTTGGCGAAGCTGTTTTGAAGGTTGAAATAAAAACATGGAGTCTGGAAGCTTGATTAGATGCAGCCGACGTGCGAGTAACTTCCTCGATACAGCGCGTTTCTGTACCTTGAAGGTAGGTTCCTTGGCACTTAAGCTCCCAGTCCCGGTCTGCTGTTGCCGACAAAATAAGCCTTATCTTATCAGGTTCGTGCCTGTAATCTACTAACCTACCTATGTACAAGGTACATGTATACATAAGTACCTACTCGTGCGAAAAGAAAGTTCAAACTCTCCACCCGTAGGGCAATCAAGCAGGGGTTCTATTATGTACCTATTTGCCTCAACGTGCCATCGAAAAGGTTTTTAGATGCTAACATAAATAGGTACATACATCGGCCATATGGCCCAAATCAATAACAAATCGTCAAGGGGGGATTATATCTCATCGCACACAAGGCGATTTTATCTAAGGTTTACTACCAAGTCGCGAGAATTGACTACTTAATACTCTAAATGACTTACAAAGTTACACCCACAAACTGGTTGGGCTTGGTGTATAAGATAATTGTCACTAGACCCTCTAAAAACTAAAAGCTTTCTACTACGCAAAGAATACGTGAAAGCACCACTTGATACTATGGCGGCGCCGGAGCCAAACCCGAATTTGCCGCCTTCGGAGGCAACGAACGCTGTTCTTGTCCCGTCCGATGAACTGCCAGAAGGGGCTCAGAAGGTTGAGGAGATCGATTTCAATGCTTTCAAGGGGCGACCGATTACTGTGGATGATGTGCTTGGAGGCATGAAGCATATGGGCTTCCAAGCATCCTCTATGGCCGAGGCAGTACGGATTATCAATGACATGGTTAGCAAAGGGAAAGTATTCATTTCCTAGCATTTAACTAACAAATCCTGAAGCGAGCATGGCGTGACCCGGAGACGGGCGACAAGACGACGATATTTCTTGGCTATACGTCCAATATGATTTCATCTGGACTAAGGGGCATATTTCGGTACCTGGTAGAGAACAAGCACGTCTCATGCATTGTCACGTCTGCAGGTGGTATTGAAGAAGACTTCATCAAGTGCCTCGGCGACACATACATGTCTTCCTTCAGCGCTAGGGGAGCCGAGCTAAGAGCTAAAGGTCTCAACCGAATAGGTAATCTGATGGTTCCCAATGCGAACTATTGTGCATTTGAAGACTGGGTCGTGCCCATTCTAGACAAGATGCTCGAAGAGCAAGAAGCAAGCAAGGGAACTGAGGAGGAAATCAACTGGACGCCATCCAAGGTTATTCACCGGCTCGGAAAGGAGATCAACGACGAGAGATCAGTATATTATTGGGCATACAAGAATGATATCCCCGTGTTCTGTCCAGCTTTGACAGATGGTAGTCTAGGTGATATGCTATACTTTCACACGTTTAAAGCCTCACCACTGCAGTTGAAGATCGATATAGTAGAAGACATTCGACGCATCAACACCATCTCCGTACGGGCAAAGCGAGCCGGAATGATTATATTAGGTGGTGGAGTTATCAAGCATCATATTGCAAATGCCTGCTTGATGAGAAACGGAGCCGAGTCTGCCGTTTATATCAACACTGCTCAAGAGTTTGATGGTAGCGACGCGGGTGCGCGGCCAGATGAAGCAGTCTCCTGGGGAAAGATTAAAGTGGGAGCAGATCACGTCAAGGTAAGGAACTAAATTTCCTGAAAAGATTTCTTCTGGACTCACCCGATCTAATATTTGTCCTAGGTCTACCTCGAGGCTTCTGCGTGCTTCCCTTTTATCGTAGCCAGCACTTTTGCCAAGGACGGGTAGGTAGAAGATGTGATATAAGGAGTCAATGGTATTGGCATACTGCTAAGAAAGCCCACTTTCATCTAACAATCACATGGCTCGTATCCTCCCAACTTATTATGCTTAAGTGCCTAGTTTGGCAGTAAAGTTTACTGCTAGAAGCAGCCATTGGTAAGAGGCCTCCCAATTTAAGTGTGTCTGAGGGGGTGTCCTCGCGAATAAGAATTTAGGTTAGTCAAAGCATTCTTGTTTCTACGTAATGAAATCGTCCCCCTCGAGGGATTACAAACAGATCGGAATTGAACGCAGCTTTAGTAGTCGAACTTCAACTTTCAACAGATAGTACAGACTCGGTGTACCAAGTAACGCCTATAGCCCAAGCACTCCCAATATATTAAAGGACGACCCTCGGTGTACATGATTATTAAAAGATGTTCTGCTGTAATAATCAGTTCGACTTGATATTGAAAGCGGATGGCATTGACCATGTTAACAACCTTAACAAGATCTTCGGACGAGCCCCTTTTCACCACTAAGCCTCGCAAGGACATGCTTTGGGCACTTTTCTTTGCTACTTTATTCAACTCGCTCCCTATGCTATTATCCTACACTAGAAGAAGGTCTTGACCATTCTCTACAGGCCGTCTAGAGGTTTCTAAAGATCTCCAGAAAATCTCTCTCCCTGTACGCGACTACCCCCTTTAAAAAGTCATCTATCAACATTATATCCAATGGTATTTCAACATGCTTCCCCTTTTTGATACGGTCCTACGGGCGAACAAGGATGAATTAGGTATAGTACCAGCTTTGGCAAGACATGCACCAAACTCTATAACTATCTCTCCTGGATTAAATCGTCCCCTATCTCGTCCCGAGTCACCAAATAATCTTATGCGCGTCCCGTACCAGTCTATAGAATCAAATAGCAACCCCAACGTGTCTCGTGCAACAACAACATCAATACCTGAGTTATCATCTACACAGTCACGTCCGAATCGCCCACATGGTTGTCAGGCCCAATTTCAGGCAGCAAAAACTCTCCTCGGCTTAAAACATGCAAAGACTGAGGAAGGTGCTCGGGGGTTAACGCCTTGCCCGGAAAGCGCAGCCAGTATTAGGTTAGCCGTGAATGGCAATTTCAACCCATCTCTTTCCTCTTCGCCAGTGGACAACGTCTCCCAGTAAGTTTTTTCCTCTACTAAGCTCCTCATTATATTACTTTCCCATCGTAACATCACAGGCTTTTTATAGTAAGTGTTTTACTGCTGTTGTTGAATTCCTTCATACATTATTAAGCTTAACGATAACTATCGCATTGTTCAACTAAGCTGAATAAAATTCACAGAACTCTCGGCTTTGTTTCTATTGCCAAGAAAAGAAGCTCGTTTCGTCGGCAAGTAGGTGGACGGGGTAGGCAGGAATACGCCGCAGGCTTGGAATTTGAAGCTTCGATAGTCACCATGAATCCGCGCAATGACCAAGTAGACTCACCAAAGCCGAGAGCTAGAAACAGGAGCGATGCTAGGTCATCAGTAAATAAGCTTATGAACGAAGTCAACAATGCAGTGGGAGGCGAGCCAGCTGACGATGCCACAAAGGAGGAATGGGATCGCTACTTGGGCAATTACATAAATGAACTGGACCAGAGAACTGGGCCGAGATCATGGCCTCAACTTGAAAAGGCTGAACAGTTTGTCAAGAGAATGGGGCAAGCACCTTTTAGAAGGGTGAACTACAGTAGTGACGAGGATGACGCGCCCAAAGCTGGCGGATCGACAGCACCAGGCCAACAGAAAGTTCAGACTGGAAAAAGCCATAATAATAATAAGGGCACGGCTATGAACGGCAAGCCTCGGGAAAGACGTCGCGAGACAACGGAGCCGAGAAAGAACGAGGTGCGGGCTGCTTCCATGGGAAAGCAAGCAGCAAAGGATCTTCAGGAATTAGAAGACGCAAAACAGTCAAGAAGCGGCAATGGGGTGAAAGCTTCCACATCCAACATTATTCCACTAGGTCCGAGTCTGATAACGGATCAGGATAGTCCGCAACATAAGAAGAGATGCCAGAGAGCAGTAGAATCCCTAATGTCGGAATTGGGCAAGAACTGGCAGCCTCATGCTGACGAACAAGGGCGTAGACTAGTCAGGAGGGGAGCTAACAAGAATTGATTAGCTAACTACTTAAATATATCCATGAGATATATTTATATTATGCAGCAGAGCTCTAGGGTACATGACCTATCATGACAGGGAAAGGTGTATTCTATGCATATCGAATGTTGTCTTTAGGTAGTTATTCCATTAAGCTACTGAGATATATGTTCACATACGTCCGAGTAGCTATTTCTAGCAACTATTTCTAGTGATAACATGGAAAAAGGTCGGAGTTACCAGAGTTCGATAATATTTCAGTCTAGCAGCGGCATTGAGTATTGCTGTTCTCGAAAGAGTTAGCGCAAAAACTATTTAACTACATAGTGTACGGGCTTAGTATTACAACTGCTCAGCTGCTCTACATGTAAATACTAAATACAAACATCAAATTATGTATGTGCCCTAAGGTTTCAAACTGTATTATCCATCAAAGTACCCACAGAGACCTCCAATCAATCGCATTATTGATATGAATTGAATTATAGAATTTGGCGCACGTTGTACTATATTAACCTTAGTGTACATTGCCCTCCGTACATAGTAGGGCAAGGTCAATTAAAATTTTTTTTTGTTTATGAGTAGGTAGTGCGTCTTGACTGTTTGTATACGAGAGTTACACGCGGAGGATCTTCGTGCTACATATTTACATGTACATAGGTAGCACAGATACATATATAAACTTGACCATGCATGCCTGTTTGGTTAACTTGGCAGTCTCAAAATGCGCAGGCAGTCATGATGGGAACAGGTGATTGGGCGTTTAAGACAGGCAGGTGGAAGGCTTGGGACAAGTTGTAGATTGAAGATGGAGCCCGATTGGGTCTTCATGGGGGGAGGGGGGGCTAGCATCTTTAATGCCAAATGTTTAACAGGCGTTGCAAGCCTAGGTTAGGTGGTTACATAGGTACATTAACTAGCGGCTTATGGGTTCCGGGCGTCTTGCATCCCTGCTCGGGGTTCGGTTTAGGCTAACCTGTCCTGGATTTCTCTGGTTATCGTCCTAGCAGGTGCCACGCGAAGTTTGTGTTTTCGAGGGTCTCCAATTTCAGCCTCTTCAACCCTTCACGTTTTCAACGTTCCTATCGAATACAGCGTTTCAACTCATCTATCATCTTAAGAATTCGACAGGCGCCTGTCGCATAACAACATCCGAGTTTACAGGGCTCTAGACAACCAACCAAATTTAAGTTAAGAGCAAAAGGGAGGGGTTGTGGTTGTAGCATCTTCTAATTCAGAGTATCGTCTGTCCGCATCCTATCGCCGCCAAAACTACAACCGTATTGAAAATCCGTGCTTGCTAAGCTTCCATGATCATCCGAGCCCATTTCCGACCTATGACTCTATGAGAAGCTCATAGACTACTTAAAGGCGGGCCTGCTCTTGCCTCGTGCCAGACATGTAAGTCCAATTTCTTTTTCGGGCGACCTGTTGGATATTCGATATCGACACAAATTCTGGTAAGCACTCATCGTGCACCGAATACTAAGAACCTACCACCTCTGATTTACACGGCACGAAAGATACGGTAGAGATACTGTGAGATTACAACATGTTCAAAACGATATGCACTTCCGTTCGTTATAGACCTAAGAGTGATAGACGAGGCTGTCCTAGACCTAGGGTGACCTCCGAATTTTCGGATAATTATCTAATTCCTTCGCGTAGGGCTTCCCGCTATAATGGATCGCGGTATGATGGCGATTCGCGCCGCTCTAGGTCTCGAGATCGTTCGCCAGATCGGAGATCATTGTATAGTGACGGTGGACCGCGACGCTCTTCTGCCGAATCTCGAGTGAATACCTCTGCGTTTCAGACCAATCGGGATAACTTTCGCGACGCCCCCCTATCAAGAGACCCCCCTCGGGGCCCGAAAGCCTTACTCGATGCGCCTAGCGGACCTCGCGGAGGAGGATACTCCGGAGATTTCCGCGGTAGAGGTCGCGGAAGGGGTAGAGGTTGGCGAGATGATAGCCGGGACCGTGGGAGGGATAGGGATATCGATTTTAGAGATCGGAGAGACAACTCTTACCGCGATGAACGCAGCCGAGAACGTGATCGCGGTGATTGGCGGGACCGTGATCGAGACAGCTTCAGAGGACGACGACCATCACCCCGTGGACGATCACCCCCCGGTAGAGATTTTCGGGATTCGAGAGACTTAAGAGATGCTCCACTAGGCGTCGATGCGGAGCGCGCTCGACGTGGATCGAGAGACGGACCACTTTCGGCTGGATCGTCTTCATCTGACCCTCCTTTTGGGCCCTCGTCCTATCGCGGCGGGTATAATAGTCGGGGTCGCGGGAGAGGTCGTGGCGACTGGGATAGAGGCCGTGGACGGGGTTTTTATGACGATCGTGACAGATACGGCCCGGCCTTTAGGTCGCGTTCTCAAGAGGGACGATATCGAGATCGGGACGACCGCGATCGCGATAATAGATATCTCGATCCCGACTTACGCCCACGCGATCATCGAGATGACCGCGATGTGCGAGACCGCGAGGTTAGGCCCAAACTCGAGAGAGCATCGCACGAGCCGCCCCCATTACCTCCAAAAGACGTTTCGCCCCCTCCAGTCGCTCCAGCCGCGCCATCCTTTGGATCGGTACCTAACAGAACTGCATCAACGACTGAGACCGGACCGGCCATGGGCAAGGCGCCGCCAACAGGACCAAGGGCACTCAAAGAAGAGCGGCCAATAGTGCCTGGCCCTGCGCCTAATGCAGATTCAAGACTGCCACCTATCGGTCCATCTAGATCGTCCTTCCTAGAAATGAGCCCTACCACTATTCCTTCTGGTCCACGCTCCCAAACACGGCCGGGCCCCTCGAGCAAGCAATGGATCAACCCTAATATTAAGAATCGGGTCCCAGAGTCACCAAAGCTAAGTAGGTCTCAGAGTTTAGCTCAACCGCGACCTGCCGGATTCCGTCCGGACGGAACGCATTCGGATCAACCGGTGGATAATGACCAACGACCGCCTAGTGGCGATGCAAAAGCAGACCTACAGCCGGCTTCGGTAGATAAACATGCTCATGACTCTCATACCGCAGACCTAGGTGAGGCGACTGTTAGACATGACCAGCCGTCTCGGTCTGATAGGCCGTCTTTGGATCGAGAACGTCAGCCTCAGGAGCGACCTGGTAGCAGAGGCAAGAATGAGGACGGCGAGATAGATGAGAGCGGCCGCTCTATGGAAGAGATGCCCAGTGTGGAACTAAAGGCCATGCCAGTGGCAGACGCAGCAAAGCCAAAACCAGAGCGAAAGCCTATCCTTAAAGTCTCCTTGCGACACGTTTCCTTGCCTCAGAAGGAAGTGAAATTGCCTATTTTGGATCAGTCATCGGAGTCAGACGATGAGGAGTTTGGCGATGTCATTGAATCGCAAATGGCTGAAGTAGAGGCAAAGTTAAAGCGGCTTGAGGGGATTGAGGAAGCTGTGCCAATCGACGCTATAATGCGACATGCGGTGGTGTCACTCGAGGCTATTACGAAAATTCTGAACGAACCTGAAAGCTTAGGAGAGATGGTTGGTCGTGTTCCGGACGATGTTTCCCCGCCTGGTAAAATGCCCACGGAACCAGAACCCCAGGTTGAGAAGGCTCCGGTGGTCGAAGATATTAAGGAGGTTAGTGATACCAAGGAACTCGTTAAGGAGAAGACCCCTCAGCCTGTAGTGGAAGAACCGGCCCCAGCGACTGCGACTCCAAGCGCAGAGCTTCCTCAGCCATCTATCGAGCACGATATCGACGTACCTACGGCTCAGGAGGCGCCCCTTGACGAACACAGACCAAATAATGACGACGGAGACGTACCTATGGAGGATGTATCAGACGTTGCCCAGGTCGATTCTGAATTACAGGCCCCTCTCCGAACTCAACTATCAGTTCCTCATAAGCAATCTATTGAACCACCGTTTGAGGAAGTTCACATACAATCGCAAGAAATCAGTAAAAGGGGCTCAAGCACGCCATCTCCAGGAGAGGATGAAGACGAAACGGATATTGAGGATGTCGACCTTCAGACGATCGAGATTGTCCGTGAACATATGGCGACTCCTCCAATTGAGAGTCTACCCTATTTTGATGAGAAACCATGGTTTAAAGACGCGGCCTTTCTAAAGTCGATGGATGCTCAGCAGTCAAGCCTCGATTCGTTCATCCTGGAAAGGCTCAGAGACGAAGCACAGCACCGGTTAGTAGAAGAGACGCGGGTGAAGTCGATCTACGACGTAAACTACAACAACTATCTACGATTCACCATGTCTAATGATCCTGTTGCTGTTAAGAGTCGGGAGAAGTTTACTTGCATCACTGGAGTGGAGAGCACTGGTCACAAGCCTGGTTTCCATGAGTCGAAGCCTGAAGGGATAAGGCGTAGCAGATACGCGTCAGAACGTGATCTGGAACGAATCTTGGAAGAGTCGCGACGCGTAGAGGATGAGAAAAGGGAACGGCAAATGCAGGCAGAAAGGGAAAGATACAGGACTGAGAAGGAGGCAGTATTACCTCGTCAGTATCAGGCACCTGCAGAGCGAGAGAACGATTTCTATCGGGATGTGACTGGGTTTATTCAACCCGAGAAAATCGTAGCAGCTTGGCAAACTTTACCCCCTGTGGATAATTTCACCGAGGAAGAAACTGCAATATTCGAAAAGGCCTACCTCGAGTTTCCTAAGCAGTGGGGTCGTGTCTCCGATCCACTAGCGAACAGGGACTTTGGAACTAGTATCCAGTTCTATTACCTCAAGAAAGAGAAGAATGAACTCAACCTTAAGGAGAAGTTGAAGAAGCGTCCGAGGCAGCGTAAGAAGGGCGGACGCGGCAAACAACGGTCTAGTGCACTGGTCTCCGAACTTGGCAATGGGGATAACGAGAACGAAGAAAACCAGGAGACGGGCGAAAATGGCGAGCGGCGCCGACCTAGGCGTGCGGCCGCTCCTACTTTTAACTCAGAGGCCACACCGGCCACGGACGGCGAAGGAACACCAGTCGGTACTCCTGGACGCAGAGGGGCTGGCTCTAAGGGAGACGGAAGCTCCGAGAAGCCAGAACGCAAGCCTAGAGGGCGCCGGGCTGCTAAGGACAGAGAAGCGAAACAACCCCGGGTCAACCAGACACTTGCTGCAGCTCCGCCTCCGGTGATTAAAGGTAACCGCTCGCGATCCAGCTCTCGGGTTCATGGCCCGGAATGGACCTCTCAGCAGGCACCGAACGAGGCAGGTAGGGTTCCAACTCAGTACGAATTGGCTCCAAGTACTACGGCAGTTCCACCGGTTACTATTCCTGCGCCATTCCCACACGCACAGCCCATACTCAGTCCCGAAAGGGGTATTCCTCCTCCGCCTCCACCACCAGTCTCGGTGTCGATGGACGCGATGGGTCCTCCGCCTTTGCGCCCCGAGCCGCCGCAACAGCCATCAGTTGCTATGCTTGATCTTGGCACCCCTACAGCATCTGATCGTAGATCCGGCACGCAAGCATCTAGTTACTGGAGCGTACCTGAAGCGAATGATTTCCCCCAGTTGCTTCGTTCCTTCGGAAGCGATTGGGCAGCTATTGCCACACATATGCGGACCAAGACTCCAGTCATGGTGAGCTCCCAATCAATATTTAACTTGGTATCATTACTTGGTATTTTTACTAACTCCGGCAGGTAAAAAACTTTTATACCCGAAAGAAAGACACTAACGATTGGCAAGACATCGTCAAGGAGGCGGACGCTAAGAAACAGCGAGGAGAGAAGAGGCCCGCGCCTCCAGCACCTAGCTCTGGTGTTAAGAAGCGCTACGAAACATCTAGCAATCGGCCACTCGCAGCCGCTGATGCGGTCATGGAAGATAGTCCCGGTGCAAAAGTCGAACATTCTCAACCCGCACAGCCGACGACAGGTCGTTTCAACGTTCCGATCGCAGCCCAACCGCAGCCTACGCTTTTGCAGGCATCGTTCGTGCCGCCTCAGGCTCCGATGGCTCAGAGCCACGGCGCTACCCCGCCTGGATCCCAGTCTCTAGCTCAGCCAGTGACGCAAACTATGTCTCCTCGGCCTATGAGGGCACCTTTTTCATTCGGCGAAAGAGAACGGGAAATGCCGCCTCAGCAGACTCCTCGCGTTCCATTAATGCAGAAGACGACCCAGCAAGGGCCTCCAGCAGCACCCGAACCTCCCATGGGGAGACATCCTTTGCCTACGTCCCTTATCGAGCCTCAGTCGGAACGGCCTAAAGTCGAACCTAAAATTCCAAAGGAACAACCTCGTCACCAGGATCGCCAACACCTGCGCGTGAAGCAGGAACCGGACCTTATCCACCAATATGACCCATATGCTTCTCAGGCTCACCAGAGTATTCGAATGGCATCATCTCGTCCAGATAGTGTATCCATGTCTCGTCCTCCAGACCCTCCTCGTGCCGTAGCGCCAGCTCCAGCGCCGGCTCCACAGGCGCCTTTTGCCACCATTCTTCAGCATCACAGCCGAGCATTATCAGGCGAGGGTATCCCATCTCCACGTTCTCGTCCTATGCCAAACCTTTCACGGCCGACATCTGGGGCTAGTAGTGGGACGGGGCCGTTCAGCGCTCCACCAGCGCAACCCACGCCACCTGCCGTTGTCTCTGCGCCCACCCGCCCACCAGAGCGTAAGACATCTAGCTTGATGGCACTTCTGAATGACGACCCGCCTCCCCCTCCACCCAAACGAGTGGCCGAGGTACCTGCAGCCGCGAAGCCGTCCTCAACACCCCCACCTCAATCCAGTCTATCGCGCCCTCCTCCTCCGCCGCCGCCACCGTCTCATGTTCGGAGAGAATCAGAGCAGAGTTACGGATACGGTCGGAATCCGCCACCAGCACCATCCGCAATGCCCCCTCTAAAACCATATGCATCCGCGTCGCCTCAGGCGCAGTCCTTAAATGCTCCCCGACATATGCCGTTAGATACGGCAGCGGAGCGAGAATATTATGGTGGCCGACCGCGATCTTTTCCTACTGGACATCAGCCTCCAGCGACAAACTCGCCCCAGAACACACATCACTATCCACCTCCGAATCAGCCGCCTCAAATGCAGTACCAACAACCACAACCATCGTACCAATATGGTGCGCAAGTCCAGCCGCCTAATGTAGCATCTCCCCCACCTCAATACGGAGGTCATCCTGCTCCCAGAGGCCACGAGTCACAGTCCAGTCGGGATATGGGTCGGGACATGGGTCGGGATATGGGTTGGCCCGGAACACATCAAGGCCACCCGCTGCAACAACAACAGCAGCCGCCACCGCAGCCGCAGCCAACTTGGGTATCACACCCTCCCCAACCACCGAAGTCCACGCAGCCTCCGCCAACCCAGTCAGCATGGGCTGCGCAACATGCGCCTACGCCAAAACCGCCTCCTCCTAGTAGTTCCGTTCCACCGCAACCTTCTTGGGCTTCTGCTCCGCCACCGAGAGGTCATGATCCCATGGCACTGCGTGATGTTCGAGACGTCTACCCGCCTCATAGGATGCAACCTCCTCTACAGCAATACGCCCCTGCTTCACGTGCCCCTGAGCCACCTCCGCCACAAGCGCCGGCGGCATACCCCCGCTATGCAAATACACCGGTGCCCGGGCGGGACCCTCGCGATCCTGGTCCCCCGAGGAGCTATACACCTGTAAACGCCTACGATAGTAGAGGTTACCCACCGCCTTCCGCTCAAGATATCCGCGAAGCGCATTTGCGCGAACAGCAGCAGCAGCAGCAGCAGCAACAGCAACAGCAGCAGCAACAACAACAACAACAACAACAACAACAACAACAACAGCAACAGCAACAGCAATCAATGCTGCAGCAGTCGTTGAGACCTCAGGATAGACATAGCCTGTACGACCGTCCACCACCTGCGCCCGATAGGTATGGGAGGTAGGAGTACCCATATCCACGAGGGCCGGCGCCGTTACCAACCGCGAAAATATAGAAGCAGGTAGGATCGAGACCGAACAAGGAGGAAACAGAGTCCTTCGTCCCACAAACGCTAGAGACCCGAACAAGAACCCTTGAAGGCTGCCAACCTGTTCTTTTTTTATTTCGACGAATTCTAAGGTTAAGCTTTCAGCTATGCGGATATACCAATTCTTATTGCAGCGTGACATACCAGCAGGGTATAGTTCGATGCTCGGGCTTACCTAGTTGTCGCTCAGAGGGAGTCAGCATATTTTCATTTCGTGCAGACTGCTCGTCTGTCTCCTAGGTGTTCGTAACCAAAATTATTAAGACTAGACTGGAGCATGTTGGTTGTTTCCTACTTTTTTTCGTCTTTGGTTCGCGTTCGATTCGTCTTATCATCACACAGCCATCTGACGTAGGCGGTACTTTTGTTTTTTATGCAATCTGACGATCTGACGTCCACCGGAGGGGATGGATAGCGCGTGTTTTGTTAGCGGAGGAGGGAACGAGGGAGGAGTAGGGAGCTGGCTTATTTATCGGATGGACAGGCTGGTTGTGAGAGTATGTATAGCATAAGGAGCATCATGAAGGCAGACAGACCTTTTTTTTTAACTTTTTTCCGAGAAAATCACTTGTTAGCTAGCTTGTTGTACATATATGAGATCCTGCGATGTGCGAGTCTGTCTGTATCGACGTGCTGTAGTCGCTAGAAAGGAAGTATATACGCTGAATTATCTTTTGATGAATCGACATGTTGGCTTTTTAAATGTGTGTCGTTTGTGCTTTGTTAGTTGTAGTCATCCTCAAAGGTGGGTAAGCGATAACGTACCTAAGCTGCAAGGGCAGGTGTGCTGGTGCGTAGGCAAATAGTCGGACACATTAGGTTAGTATGGATAGATGGACAGAAATGAATGGGCGGGCTAATTAATCAGAATTGTATGTATATGGGTGGTATAGGGGGACTGAAGATTTATAGGTTCGACCTCCGGGTAGCCCGGCTATTTAATCATGTCGAACTCGGACCTGGATTTCAAGGGCTCGGATCCTCGACAAAGTAATAGTGAGTCATTCTAACGTATAACTAGCTATAAATCTCGAACTAGACTAGTTATAACTACTCTTAAAGGAGTACTTTAGAAACTAAGGTTATATATAGGATGTTGGGCACGCGACACATGCTGACTCGCTCAGACAGTCCAGGATACCGACCGAGAAACGAAATATGGGTTATAGAGATTCTAAATCTGACTATGGCAAATCTCCTCTCCACAACATAAAATACTAACCACAGTAAACCTTACATGCCATGAAAAGTCAACTCTAAAGACACCAGACATAAAGCTATTCGAATAGATATGTATAGGGCTGGGTATCCATTAAATTCACTCGCAGCTTAGGCCTCCAAGCCCGTTCGTCACGCCATGACATCTAATCGTCTAACTCTAAACACCCCCCCTCTCCATTCTTCCGACTACCTGTGTACCTACCTAGCCGACCTATAGGATGTCTAGCCCGCTAAGACGATACCATAACAGCCCTCCCCACAACCGCCAACACAACCCCCAAAACACCCACGGCCCCCAACCCAAGCGCCGCTGCGGTCGGTCCCCAGGACCATCTCCGAGGCGTGGTCAGCATCTGCGCCACGATCTCGTCTAGCCGTTTCGCCATGTGCGCTTCACCGAAATTCTCTTTTACCCGGGAAATGCCCGCCGTTGATAGGGCGGCGAGTTCGTCGGGAGAGAGGTGGTTGAGCACCTTATCCATGACCTCGGTCCACGTCGCCACGTCGGCAGGCGATCGGAGCCACCCCGTCACGCCCTCGACGACCGTCTCGGTCGGCCCGCCCGTGTCGGCGGCTAGGACTGGGACACCGGCGAGCATGGCTTCGAGGGGCACGATGCCGAAGTGTTCGTTCGCAGGGGTGTACACGAGCAGGCGGGCTGAGGATAATAACGTTGCTTTGAGTAGATTCGGCACCGAGTGCAGGAACAGCACTTCCACGTCGTCGGGCATCTCGAGGGCGGTGACGTGCGTCTTGGCCGTCATGCAGCGCAGCCCGAGAGACTCAGACAGCGCAACAAGCTCCTTATGATACCCCACGTTCTCCGCAACGCGCGGGTCATACCCTCCCGCTACCACCAACCGCACATCTTCACGGGCTTGCGGGGATAACCCAGCGAAAGCGCGAATAGCAAGCGCGATATCCTTCTTGCGCTCGAAGCGGTTGATGCTAAGAATGAATTTCTTGCCGTTCCACAGGGGCTTCGCGTGTTCCCGCATATCCTTGTCCTTGGTATCGACGCACGGATACACAACCTTCAGCTCCATGCCCCCCTGCACCAACGCCGGCCAAGTCCGGCACACGACGCCGCGCGTAAACTCCGAGTTGACAGCAACGGCGTCGGCAAAGCTCATGCTCCAGCGCTCGCACGCGTCGAACGGCAGGCGGTACGCGCGCTTCCACCAGCGCTGGCGGCCCCGCGCCAGCAGCAGATCGGGGAAGTGGCAGTAGAACAGGACGCGGGCGCGCGGGTGCACGAGCTGCAGGAGCGGCACGCCGGCGCTGAGCTGGTCGACGAAGAAGGCGTCGGGCGACAGGGCGCGCAGCTCCGAGGAGACGTAGATCTGGATGATGAGGTGCAGCTGTCGCAGGATGGAGCACAGGATGCTGAAGCGCGAGAGGATGGACGGCGGCACGATGGTGTTGCCGCGGACGCGGACGTCGAGGGTTCCTGTTTTGGGGGGGAGTGGAGTGTTAGATTTGATTGATTCTGGTCTTCATTCTCTTCTTCTTCTTCTTCTTCTTCTTCTTCTTCTTCTTCTTCTTCTTCTTCTTCTTCTTCTTCTCTGCTTCGGTACATTGCACAGAGATAGAGAGGGATAAGGAGAGAAGGAGAGAGAGAGAGTACAATAAACATCTCCTCCTCAAACATACATACCATCTCTCGCCTCGTCAAAGCAATGCTTCGGATCGCAATGACTAGTAAAAACAACCACCTCGTGCCCTCGATTCTGTAATCCAACCGCCGCGTCAACGACCAATCTCTCCGCGCCGCCGATCCCCAGGTCAGGGTGGAGGAAGACAATGGTCTTAGCCGCCCTTGTCTTTTCCGTCATGTCGGATGATGGTTGGTTTTGGCTGACACCATCGGGTGAAGTTGATGGAAAGTTGCGGCTCTGGGGCTTTTGTCGATTTTTAGGGTCGGAGCTTGACGTTCCTTCCTGCCGCCCATCCCCTTACCTGTCCTCAGCCCTACCAGGTTACGTATGCACCCGCTATGCAATACCCCACTATTTACCCACTTGCTATCCCCGCAATGACAGCCACCTGCATTGATCGATATGTCATTTCATGTGATAGAGAACTACATGCATATTCTCATTTATAGCCGGGTTGATACAGCAGACGGATATTCAAAAATAGGCATTCCGCATAAAAAAGTCGTGATAAAATAAAAATAAAACAAAAGGCACAAACACAAACACAAACATAAACACAAATGACCAAGTCATAAACTCATTATTTATTTTATCTACTACCCTTAGTACCATACCATACCATACCATACCATACCATACCCGACCAGTCCCGCTAAACACAAACCAGCAGCTACGCAAAACAAATAACATCGTGGGTAGCGTAAGCCGGCTTTATCTCATTCTGATATCAACTCCCCCGAGACCCCCATCCAACCAACTGACAGACAGCCTTGATTTTGCTATCATTCAAGACTGGTGAAAAATTAGGTAGACGCTGTCAACTCCCTCCCCTCCGGCTTTGTCTCCGTTGCTTTTCTCGTATCGCAAGACGCCTCAAACATGCGGGTATGTTAAAACGTAAAAGTAAAAGCAACAGTACTAAAAAAAGAGGTAAAAGTAAAAATTAAGTAAAATAAAAGCATCATGAGTATACTTAGCCCGACCAAAAAAGAAAAGCGCCAGTTTACGGACCGATGACCTAGCACACCGGTGCGCCATTCTAGGAAATCCATCCGAAAACTATAAACAGAGAAGCGAAGTATACGATCGCTAAGTTGTTGATGTAGCCCCCCGGCGGGTTGCTCAATAATCCATATTCTCACTCGCTAACCGAGCCCTCCTCGTTGTCGTCCCTTTCAATTTCGGTTCCAACTTCGCTTTGCCTACGTGGCGTGGCTAATCCCAACTCGTTGCGCACGTCCTTCTGTATCTTTAAGAAGTATTTTCTAAGAGTTGCAAGGCCACGGAGAAATCCCCGGTCTGGTTCGTTTGGATGCTTTGGTGGGCATGGTTTGTTTTCGGCCAGGTCTCCTGCCGTGACGCTGTTGGCAAAGTCGGCCATTTTGAAGTCGATCTCCTTTTTGTTGATCCGACGTTTTCTAGTATCCCACACATCTTCCGTGTCTGTTGGGAAGTCGGTAGTGGACTCGTCAGCCCCCGTATCGTAGCCCTCATCAGAGTTGTCGGCATCATAGAACATTAGTAGGCTAGCTGCGTAGAACCGATAACCGCGCAGCCTACGGACGGTCATCTCAAGTTGGTTTAGTTTCTGTAAGATTGTTGGTATATGTCTCAGGACGCTGCTATAATCTACTCCATCGTAGAGGAACATAGTTAGAGCATTTTGAAACTCTGCACCTTCCTTAAGACTCCGTCCGTAGTATTTGTCTTTAAAGACGTAAGTCTGGGATTTGGCGTCCCAAGCCTGTAGTCCGCAAACCCTAACGCCCAGCTCTCTGGATGTCGTGTTGGCGCATTTGCGCTGCTGCGACTCACGCTTCTTTGGGTTGGCATCTACACCATACTGCCGAGTACCCATCTTCAAATCCATGATGCAGGGCCGTTTCATACCAGCAGTAAGGTCCTCCATTAATAAGAAGTATTCTACCCTTGAGTCGCGCTGTGTCTGCGCTTCTTTGGGGTTGATAGGCCGTGGGATTTTCTTAGGTTCCATTGTTGGGCTGGGAAGAGCTGAAGGTACCTCTGATGAAAGATTTGACTGAAATACAGAGCCGTCTCCATTTCCATTCTCGATAGCGTCGACTTCGTGCTTGCGCCCATTTGTTTTATGTACATGATCCCGCAATTCTGCCTGAGGTTCGCTATCCCTCCTATATTCAACTTCGTCTGGGTCTTCGAAATACTTAAGATGTCCACGTGGGTCTGCGACGTCCTCGGGCTTCCGCCTAAGTTTGCTTCCCGAGTTGCGCCGCTTCCGCCTCTGAGTGAACTTTTCTGACAAAATTTCAGGTTCTGGCGCACTGGTTCCCGTAACATCTTTCATATGGTCCATACCTTGAACTCCCGAACAAACCGAGTCAGCGCTAGCATCACTTCTAGTATGTAAAAGGTGTGGAAGAGGCTTTAGTGGAGTTGCTTCGTGAGAATGTTGAGCATGGCCATTAGTCTTGTCCCGACCAGGCAAAGCACCCTCGGCAGTCATCGGCCGCTCGACTTGCTGTACGGAGCGACGAGGGATCGACCGTTGCTGGGATGCGGGTCTCCGGTGTTTATGTATTGCGATAGGTTGCTTCAAAAAAGCGTCATTAAAAACCTCATTTCGTAGTCTCTTATTAACAGTCGTAGCACCCCAGCTATTGGCATGTCGATCTTCCAGAGACGGCCGGTTCGATAATATCCCCATTTGGAGATTTTTATCACGCAAATATTGCTGGCCTACAGCGGCGGAGGCGCTCTTTGGGCGACCGTCGCTGTTGGCTGCAGATACTGCAGGTCGGAGTAAACTTCGAGGCAGAATATGACGGTTATCAACGAAAGTAACTGTCGGTATCGGGTTCTGTGACGATTGGAGGGATTGGCTGATAATCCTGCGATGATGACGCTGATCTTCTCTATCCGATGAGTCGAATCCCTGCAGGACCCCTAGGCTAGCTGTTCCCTTATGCCCGCTTGGCTGCTCGTCTTGCTCGCCCGTTTTCTTTTCTGGTGTAGGGTTGTCGTCTTTTTTGGCCGTCGACTTTCGCCGTGGTTGTTTCTGAAAGGTGACATTAAGAACACCAATATACCTAAAGAAACGTTAGCTTTTCCCAACGAGCTTGCGGTCTGCCCCATAGGAGCCGCATTGGATATAGGGCGAGGGCAATAGAAGCGGCAATAACACACCTGGGCAAGAAGGGTAGAAGATCACGATGATATCGTTCAATTTTCTCATAAAATTCGTTCTCTCGGTTGTTTAATTGCTTGCACACAGCCCTCTTGGAAAATCTCCAGATGGTTGTGTGGCCACCGACCTGATGCTTATAAGGTATAAGTTCAATTGCATCAAGGGGCAATTTTGGTTCATTTTGATGATCTTGCACCATATCCTCAAAATACTGGGAGGGCGGTTGAGATGGTCTAGTAGATATATCACGAGATTTTTGGGGGGACTCGATCTCATCCTCGATAGCACATTCATCATCTATTCGCGAGAAGTCTTGAACATGCGAGGCTGGGTCATTATTACGGTTGACATTACCACCGTCCGGTCCATCAGCCCTCGTCCTATCTTCAGCTTCAGGCTCATCTGCTTTTACTAACCAAGGGTGAAAATTCTCACCGTGGGATTTGCGAGAGACAGGCTGCGAGATATTGAAATCCTTCTGAAGAACATCCCTGTTTTCCGGGCTCTGGTTCAAGCCCTGATGCGGTAGAAACACAGCCGAAGATATCTTTTCTTCGGATGACTCGTCGCCCTCTTCGGCTGCATCTCCAACTTCCGTCGTGTCACTTGATTCACGATGAATATCTCCAATACCCTCATCGGGTACGATAGCAGAGCCGTCGTGTCCATTGTAAGCCCGCTGTTTTGCAGTAAGAGGCTCTCGGGAAGATGTTCTGGCAGAGTCGGCAATGTGCTTCGATGGTAGTTGCAAGCCAAAGTAATCGAGCTCAGTAGTTTCACAAGGAACAGGCTTGGCGTCTGAGGCACCCCAAGGAAAAGACTGCACACTCGGCACATGAGAAGGAGACTGGTCGCCTTCAATAGATTGGGGAGAGGGTAGTGGCGACTGAAAAACATTATTATCATCGGAGTATTTCTGATAATTCGCGTCTGTGGCCAAGCCCTTGGCGAGCAATGACTTGTCCCGCTGATGCCCTACTGATTTGGACTCCCTCCGCCTGCCTTTCTCTTCTGGGAGACCCTCCTTGAAGAAGCGTAGACTGTGACTTGCTTTCCGGCTCCGCGTCGGCTCAACACCGGCTAGCACCTCCGTAATAGATTTTTCAACCTGTCCATCTTGATGGCCGATTATATCGTTGGTGCCAATAGACCAGGCTTTCTCTGGACCCATGGAGAGCGTATGGTCGACTCTCCAAGCCCTGTATTGGGCCCGCGGGTCAGAAGTGAATTCCGGCTTATCGCCAGTAGAAGGTGCGATATCGGTAGCACCGACTGCATGGGAAAACGCAGTGTCCCCAACGTTATCGGAAAGCGTTTTAGGGCGGTTCAATAATTTTAAATAAATTTCCTTGTCTGTACGTTCCAATGAGCGCCCTCTGCCAATGCCCAAATCAAAATCCCTGCCCCCTATAAGCGTCGTAGCTGAGCTTATAGTTCCGGGCATGGCGATAGGTGACAATGTTGCAGCTTGTCCTAGAGGGGTAATCGAAGATAATGACGGTACGGATGTCGCTATGGAGGCCTCAGCAAGCCCCGGTTGGTCAATTAGTGTCAAAGAGCCATGCTCTCTCCGCTCATGATAGTCATCTTGTGTCGCGACTATGGAGTATCCGGTAGGTGCATCAGATACGTTTCTCGGCTGGCTAGGTCGGCTCGGTACATTGGAATATACGGGCTTCTGCTCGGGACGTCGCTGGTCTGTTTGAGTCTGGGAGGCGTGCGAAGGGAGGATTCCACGAGCAGAAGCCAGAGCTTGCGAGAGTAGGGACGGGCCATTGGACCTCTGGGGGACCGAAGGCGGCCATGATTTATTATTGTTGTGGTCGACATGGTTAGTAGTAAGGGATGAAGGAAAGGTGGATGCGGATGGCACATGGGAACCGGGGGGTGCTGGTACGGATGCTGGTGCTGGTGCTGGTGCTGGTACGGGTACGGCAGGCAAGACACTTGCAGATGGCCGTGCATGGTCAGATACAGAGGGCGAACCAGTCACAGTAACGGAAGAGGAGGATGGGCTGACAGTCGCTGTCCCAGTGGTAACAGCAGCATTAGCAGCATTGGGACTCCCAGAGGCCACACCTTGGGGGCTCACCGGTGCGGCAGTTGCGGCATTTTCGGGCTTACGATGCGGGCTGGACATGAGG